AAAACGTGTGGTACCCTTTAAGTCGCCAATTTATCGAGTCTGCATTGTTATAGGTTGTTATATCCACCCCATAAAAAATCCGCATCTCTGAATTGACTTGTCAAAGTTTATTTGTCCCTATATTTAGATTGACATTTCAATAAACAGGACACAATTTCTTTATAAATTTCTTTTTGCAACATCTGATCGATTTTGCACTTATTTCTTATAATAAAGCTTATGTCGCCGTGTTTTCTTTAAAGGCCTATATGTAATTTCTATGAAAACCTTACTAAATATTCACAAACGGTAGCTTAGTTTACTTTTTGAATGGAATCAAAATACGGATCTTAAAAGCTACCTGTATTTCAAGGAAGGCGTAATACTTGACAATCGTGGGAACAAGTTCTGATTTGAAATCTCTTTTGGGAATTTTGCAACCCCCTCTACTTTTTTTTAAACGAATATCTTAATTAAAACATTTTGTATAAAAAATATTTGAACAAGTTTTTAGCGGAATGCCAAAAAAAAGGGGTGTTAAACTTTTATATTGGTTTATTACAATACGCATCCCATTGGACATTTATTAGGTCCAATATGGGTGACAGTAACCCCTCCGATAAAAATTTAGTAAATTTCATTCAACATGTAAAAATAAACCTGTAATTTTTATATCCCTAAAGTTAAAATTTGTTTTCCCGGGCTTAATATTTAAGGCCCTTTTTTCATGGTTTTTCTGTGAAAGAAGTAAAAATTTGGGTTTATGTTAAAAATTTGGGAAAATTCAGGGGAAATTCTAACCCTTTTAAAAATGAGTATTTCTCCTTTAAAATTTTTCATCATCTTGCATAACATCGATGATACATTATTGTCAATTTGCCTTAAAAGTAGGAACATAGTAATTTATCTTCATGTATCTTTTGTTTATGTTTCATTACATTTACTTTACATAGCTTCTATATAAACATTATATTTAAGCATAATATTTATGTTACGTTATTTTACTCTTGCAATATAAAGTAAAAGTAGCAATATAATAATTTAACATAATGTTGTATGTTACATTACCCTTCATTTTACATTACCTTCCAGTTACATTACCTTCATGTTACATTATTTTTATCTCACATTACCTTTATGTTATATTACCTTTTGTTATATTACTTTTATATTACACGACCTTCATGTAACATTAGCTTAATGTTACAAAACGTTTATTTTGTATAACCTCCATGTAACGTTACCTTTATGTTACATAACCTTATAACATTACTTTATGTTGAATTACCTTTACGTTACATTATCTTCATGTTACATTTTCTTAATATTACATACACATGTGGCAGTATCGGTGTTTGGACACCCTACCCCTATCTGCCCCTGGACCCCTACTACAACTCTGAAAAAAATCAACACTTTTAGGCTTACCATAAGGTACCAAATACAAAACACCCGATAAAATTATAAAAAAATCCACTATCAAACTTATTGTTAAAGAAAGGTGAAAAGCCTACAAACACTGTGGAACACGGGAAATCGTCGTTTCGGCGACTGAGGCGCATTCAGGCGGGATTTCGCTGCATCATTCATTAACATCAATAAAAAGAAATAGAATTCCACAGCTTACCTAATTCATGTCCAACGAATATCAATATTCTATCGCTTTTTTCTGTTTCGCGGTATTTTTTTACTTGTCGCTGCCATTTTGGAATCTGATACCTGTGTGATATACGCGATCTGTTTGGACGTCCAATTTGGCTCGTCCAATCAGATCGCGTATTTCAACCAAGGTATCAACCCAGGTATCAGACTGCAAAATGGCTACGGCAGTGGAACAGAAAAAAAATCGGAATTATATTAATATTTGTTGGACTTGAATTAAAAAAGCTGTGGAATTCTTGTTCTTTTTATTGATGTTGATGAATGATGCAGCCGGAATGCGCCTCAGTCGCGGAAACGACGATTTCCCGTGTTCCACATTGTTTGGAAAATGAACATATAGTAGGCTTTTCACCTTTCTATAGCAATAATTTTGGTAGTGGGTACCTTATAGTAAGCCTCAAAGATTTTTTCAGGGTTGTAGTAGGGGTCCAGGGGCAGATAAGGGTGGGGTGTACAAACACCGATACTGCCACCTGTGATTACCTAACCTTTATGTTACATCATCATATGCTAGCAATATAATAATTTACCTATATTAACATTCTGTTACACATCCTTTATGTTACATTACCTTTATGTTATATTACCTTTATGTTAAATTACCTTCATATTATATGTTACATTACCTTTATGCTGCAATTACCGTTACGTAAAATTATCCTTATATTTTAAGTTACATTAAGTTCATGTTACATGATCTTCATTTTGCCTTTTAAGAAGCATCATCTTAATTTACCTTTATGTTGCATTTTACATTACCTTTATGTTGCATATGACATTACCTTCATGTTGCATAACTTTCATCTTACGTTACTATTATGTTATTTTGACAACAAATAATATGACCATTATGTCGCCCATTCTAGAAAGTTTGCAAGAAAAGAAAATAGAAATCACAGCGGGTAAAACTGGTACTATAGTACTTATTACAATGAAATAGTAAACTACTGAATATCTTATATATCATGTGACTTGTATTTCATTTCATTTCCAACAAGGTCATGCAAAATGTTAAAGGTAGAATACTGGTTGTTTAAATAAAATTATTTCTAAAATTAAAAAATACATCTTAAAATGAAATAAATGTTCATTAAATATATACTATGCTTAAATTTGATAGAAAATATCGATATTTGCTTCTGTCGGTTTGTATAGATACAAAATAAACATGTTTTGCCTTCACTTAAAGCAGAACTGTTATGTTTAAAACTACGGTTACAATATGAAAAATGTCATTAAAAACCTGGCAGTTTTTTTTTAAAGAAAGAACCGATTTTATTTGTCCGGTAATAGAAAACGCAGCTTCTCATACATACATGTAGTTTATTCATTCTTTAATTCAAATTAGACATATTCAGTAAGTTTTCAATTAAAAAAGGATGAGCATAGTGTATCTTTAAGCATAATTTACGCTTACAACACACATTTTGATATTATCTACTTGTTTACAGTAGGAGTACATCCTGTTTCCCGCCTAATGATCACGCCATACATACAGTATTCAAACACCCGGATCTTGTCTGACAGTTTTACAATTTCATTTTTTTTTCATACATATATATATACATAATAAGATATTAAGTGTAACACCTGATGAATTTTCACCATATATAGCCATTAATTGCACAAAACCCATTCCGGTGGTTTTGGATTTTATGAAAATCCAAATTAATGTTTGAATATTAATGACAGAAATTTGGACATAAATTAACATTATTAAAACGTTGCCTTGCCATAGTTTTAAAGCTGTTTGCTAACAGATTTAGCCAAAATGTTTCAAGAAAATCAAACTTGAGAAAAAAATTACTAAAATTTCAAGAAAGTAAAAGATTCAAGATCCAAGTAACACTTAAAATGTGATTTGCGATTAATGACCGATTTTACAGAATATATCACAATATTTTATTGTAAGGGTTATATTCGCAAACATTGTATTTTGACCTCTTTGCGGTAATTTACGTGTATTGTAAGTATCGTTTGCTATAGTGTAAATTCCTTTCTCTATTCCCTTTCCACGATTTTACTTTTGAAAACTTTTTCAAAATTTTTATTCGAATTAGCAAGAATCTAGAGGCATGTTGCTTTAAATCTGTTTTGGTGGTATGGGAAATAAACGCCAATAAAATTTGCAAATGTGATTTTAAAGATAAAAGATAAACTTTATAAATTTCTGCCATTAAATCTGTAATTTCCCGTACTTTTCGTTAAGTAATAAGTCGACGCTAATGAGAAAAACAACAACAACAACAACAACAACTCCAACCTCCAAAAAACTAAAACTTCTCAAAACAACACTGACAAACTCCAGCTAAGTTCACATGGAAATGCTTCTTAGATACTAGTAGCTTAAGTTTTGACAAACATACAACCAAGAAATGAATAGCAGCTTCATATTCCAGCTCGACATTTAAAAAGGACAGAAAATGTAACAAATTCGGATGTTTTATTTTTAAAATCAGAAAACGTCTTTCAGTTTTTCTTAAATTCATTGGAATATATATATTTTAATACTTATCTTAATCAAAAATTTGTTTAATGACAGCACATATTTTGAAAACTATTCTCTTGGCGGTCATGTTATGACTTCAGCGTAAAAATCGATTTTGTAATAAAATAAACATGGCCGATCCGGTCTAGATCGGCGATTTCTAGGTGACAGTATAAAAACTGGTCAATTAAATGTTTACTGAAACAATTGAAATAATTGCTTTGGAACTGGGAGAGGCCGAAAAAATATGTGTCTCCCTAGAGACTAGAAATTAAACGGGTAATGTTTACTAACTGACTAATAAATAGGATATTTCTGTTGCTAACTTGCTGGTAAAAAACTGTATTTATTTTGAAAAACACGAATAATACATGATTTGGATATCTCAGTACTTAAGAGGCTACCTTTAGGGTGTTTGCGTGTATAAATGCAGAAACATTTCAAAAATACAAAATAACATAAATATAATTTATTTTGCATAATAAATTAGATGATACGGCCTTTGATATTTATGATGAGATAAGTTTGATAAGTTAATTTTAATATTACATTGGACCAAATGGTACATGAGGATAAACAGACACATAATAAATGACAAGACAGTGTAAAGTATATACATACAATAACATGTGTATATAAGTGGAGATGGTATACACAAAATTGTATATCATCATTGTTATGTAGGATATAAGCGTCAAACTATCCAGTACATGTATATAAAAATAGATTTCCCTTTGGCGCCTCGCCCCTCTTTCAATCTAATATTTTTAAACGATATAAATACACGCTTTAAATTTATTGACAGCGCCATCTATGGAAATCTTAAAAATCATGTTTTCCTCGTGCAAATTATGCATTAGGAAAAACACACATAATAATAACGTTCAATTAAAAAAGTTTTGCCATTCCTCTTCCTCGAATCGTCACAGCAAGTCAGGTGATCCTCGAGTGCTGGATTTGAAGAACAAACCATTAGATACGTTCTTGACAGCAATTGTAGATATACGTCAAGTCTTCAGGTAAGAATATTGTTTATTCTTTATGTCAAGTTAACGAAAAGCATACTCGTACAAACATTTCGAAACTAATTGCTACGTTTAAAGCACGTGGCATTGTTCGTTACAATGAGAAAATGTGTGTAGATCACAGGAGCTTGACATTCTATCAATAATTGAAAGATAAAGAAATTACAGCAAATATACCCTTGTATACAATAAGAAAAAAACTTATTGTATAGAGGGGTGTATTTGCAGTTATTTCATAATTCTTCGCTTATATTTTTCAATGGTGCAATGTCAAGCCCCTGTGGTTGAAAGAAAAATATGGCTCGGGCCTATTAACGACATGTCGTGTCTTTGCGAAAAGGCGGAAGAACCAATTACGCAAGAAAGACAAACTCGTATTTTCGCCTCTAATTTGTCGTGGCTTCGCTATTTGGCATAGTTTAATTTTCCCCTTTTCGCATTATTGCTTTTGCTTTTTTCCGCATCTGTATGTTCATGGTAAGCTTCATGTGCTTATTTATTACACGTATGACATAGCTCGTGGAGTAATGCAGTCAAATTCAACAAGTAGCTAAATTATAAGCGAAACCGCAATTACTTTTATGATATCATATTAACAAATAATTATTAAATTTGAAAGATCTCCGTTGCTATCACGACGTATCTTTGTGTTTTCGCCGCGAAAAAGCGAATACACGACACGTTATTTGCCGCCATTTGCATTTCGCCTCGAAAATGTAGAAAGACGAAACCGTTCAGCCTTGTCGTCCTGATCTTTCATTATGTAGCGAAAAAAGCAAAATGGCAGCCATATTTTCTTTTAAATGACAACATTGCCATACAATTGGTCAATGCTACATAGTCAATGTAATATGAACTTTAACGATTAGCCAGGAATAATATTGAACTAAGAATTTCAATTCAGATTTCGAATTATTTTCTAATTATTTCAAAATCGACACCTTTTATAGTCTATTTTTTGTTTAAATATTTTCAGCTTCATAAGCAGAGAAGTTCATCTGAAATGTATCTTATTTGGGTAAGACTTATTTCAATTTAAAATAAATTGTTTTTGTAAAATCTTGAAATTGATTTTAAGTATGCCTATATTTATACTGTAATATCAAATCTTTCTGGACTTTTAACTTTTCCATGCAGTCATCGCACAAATATCTTTTTATGATTAAAAAATATAAATCAATTAAGCATGTGTTAAGAAAAAGTATAGCAAACTGCACGAAACGTAAGACTTGCTATTTTGATTTCAACATAGAAGGCTTCATCTTAACTCATGATAAAAGACTGTTGATATTTATCAATTTAGGAACTTCTGATTGTTGCCAGTATTCTACACACTGGAAGCTGTACTATTGCCAACAGTTTAGACCGACCTTTACGATACGAATGTCGTTATGGAAACCAGTTCATCGCCCAGATAACCAGTTTACACCATAATCGCGAAGAAGATCGTGTCTTCGACATGAGTTGCCGAGATTTTCCAGTTGATGTTTCTGGTCTAACTCCCTCTTGCACTTGGACAGGTACACGTATATTATGTTTCTAAAATGTTCTTGCATTATTTACGTGTTAGGAATACAACTTTGATAACCTTGTTTAAGCTCACCTTTACTTTTTGTGCTGTGCAAAGAAGTGAGTTTTTTTTGGCGTGCATCGTTAGTTTTAAACTTCTGCATCTTAATGATAATCATAAAGATTTTGACCAAACTAAGCATTATCTACAAGTGACCTGCATCTTAAGTTATAGTACTTGGTTAAACCTGGACTCTTATAGGTAAATGTATTTATTTTTTAACTACATGGCATTTGACTAAGTTTGGTACTAGCACTGCCTAGTGGATATACATGTATACACAAGTTTTTATTCATGGCCCATGGAACAAAAATGACCGTTCTCTACTTATTTCTGTTGAACCTCGTCTAAGCGTTATAGGGTCATAATGGTCTTTTTGTTCTCACAAAGCCAAAATTTTTTTAACGTTGCTTTTTGTGTAGATTGGCAAATCCTTACGTGCAATAAAATGAAAGGAGATCGCATAATTTTAAGTATACATTAAACCAATTTGATTTTACATTTGAATAACATTTTAGTCAAGTGTTAAGGTGTGTTAAGTTTATATGCTAAGCTGTTAAAATACAAAAGTTATCAACATTGTTAAAAAGTCTAGTTTGGGACTTTTGCTAAGTATATATTTTGATTTCGCATGGAAATAAAAGTAAAAACCTGCAACATAATTATTCAACCTTAGATTTCAATGTTTGTTCATTTTTGCATTCAGGACACCGTAGATCACGTGACTGCTTTAACACAAGAAAAGGCATTGTCCATGATTACAGTATAACATCATCTTGCAGACGTTCTTAATTGAAATATGAAGTAAAAAAAGTGTTAATGTTTAAGAAAGTGGACAGGAGTTCTTTGTTTTGTCTATTACTTCTACAGAACTTGGCTCAAATATTAAAAACTGTATTTCAGAGAATATTAACGACTGGGACAAGCCTATGTTTTATCAATGCTCTGGCAATAGGTACATTGGTGGATTTATAAGTTACCACAGCGATCACTATGAAGACAGGAGGTGGAAAGTGAAATGTTGTGGCATGCCAGGTAAGTTTTGTTACGTTTTATCCCTTGACCTTCTCAATTTGTGCAAGTTACTGTAAGGTAAGACTTCATGGTTGTTCATTAATCCGAAAAAGATTTTCATTACAAAACATTCGGACGACAACAGAATGCCGAAACATGTGTACGATAAGAATTCTAATGGAAGAGATGGTTTAAGTGTATGCCTCTCAACCAAGATAGCATGGACTCAAGCCTGAATGGTCCCATGATCTGATTTGCTCGTGACACAAGTGCGGGTTAGTCCAATGCATCGGTCTTACCAAAGTTTTAAAGATGTTATAGTTAAGAAATACCTTTATGTCTTGTAAACAACATTATCTTTATCTTCTGTTATTTATTTATCTCAGGAATTCAGCTGTCTAATTGTCATATTTCTTCATGGACCAATTCCTACGATGGTCAACAGTTCTTCAATGCCGGAACTGGCCGAGTTACGAAAGGCATGGTCTCGACTCATAGCAACTACCATGAGTAAGTTATAATTAATTTTCAAGAACGTCTAGATATTCATGAACATTTTTTAAACTGCACTTACAATTTAAGACAGATTTAGATAACACCGATAAGCAATTTCTATATACTCTAGTGAAATAATTGTGAAAAAAACATTATGTAGCGCATTACCAAAAAAAAAAAAAAAAAAAAAAAAGACAAGGTATTATTCTAAAATATTTGGTTAAAATGAACTAAGAAGAATTATTCTATCTTTCAAAATCACGAAAGATATCAACATGAAATGTGGAATAATGGATTACCATAGTGAGGATGTAAGACAAGGGGTATTATACTGAAATCAATATTTTAAGGAGTTAAGCCCCTTTATAACTGGACTATTTACAAAAATTGGTTATTGATAGTCGTTACCATTTACAGACGAGCGTTAACAACGCATGCGGCGTTCTTGTTAATTCCTATGCATTACTGAGAAAAGTTGAGTGTGCTGTTCTACTGAGGGCTTATATTGTTATTTTGTAATGTAATAAGGGACCCTCTTCCGATTACGAATCGAAAACATTTGACCTTAAAGATCATGTAACACAATTTTTTGGTTTTATATCATAAATATGATGTTCAAATTAAGATTTATCAATATTGTATGTTCAAAAAAGCCTTAGTTATAAAAATATTACCAAATTTAACATTTCATGTAAATAAAGACATAAATTAGACATTTATATTCTATAAAGTCAAATTTTCCAATAAGAAATGAATGCATATGTTTTAATGATTACAAATAATGTGACAAAAAAAATTAAATTTTTTGGGCTTGTAGATATTTTTACATATTCTTTGAGTTTAAAAAATTGTTTTTTATTAGCATAATTTTTATATATATATATAATATAATTTCACTTAAGTCTGGTATACAACCTCAATCACTACATGCAGAATCTTTAACTGTACAATATCTGACCTTTTTCAGAGGTTGGCTGGCTTATATGCCTAATAATTTAGTGTGATTTTGCAAAAACTCTCGTGTATAATATTGTCTTTATCTTGACAGGGATCGTATTTACAAGTTCATAACGTGTCAAGCTGTTCGCAACTAAGGATTAGTTCTGACTGGCAGGAAGAAAAAGTTCATGGTGCAATGATTTTTGTATTTATTTTATAAATAAAAGTTGTTGGTAAAATTTTGTGTTTTCTTTATTTACATATAACTATAACATATTAACTTTCTCATTGTCGACCAAGTTTACACTGCATTCAATATACTTGTTGTGGGCGAATCCGCGAGATATTTGGACATATTTGAAATGTCTCAATTCTGATTTTGTTTCGTCAGTATCTTTTTTAATGACTGAATAAGTTTCCAGGAATCAACTTCTAAATCACTATATACAAAACACTGCCTTCGGCCAAGTCTTAAGCTCTTGAGATGACGTAAGCTAATGTGATCACCTTGTATCCGTACGCCAGGAAATAATGTAAAATGGCTCCATCTATTGAATGAGATGGCCGCCAGCTTACTAACCTCGTGGTCCATTCAAATGAAGAAAAAAATGAAGAAAACAATTGAGTTTCAGGGAGACCTTAACAAAAGTTGTTCAAATTGATCTAGTCGGTTGAACAAGATGGCCGCCGGAGCTAAATTGTAAAGCCAGCACAGCTTTAAACGACCTTTTTGCAATCGCTTGATAGGTTTAAGTTGTGAAATCTGACAAATCATTCTTTACTAAATTTGCTAAAATTGTTCCGGACTACAAATCAAATGGCCACAAAAGCAAAAATAAGGGAAAAAAAAACACTTTCAAACGACATATCGTAAATGGCAAGGTATATTTTGGTTAAATCTGGAATAATCATTTGCCAATTCTTAACATAAGTAAATAAAATCCGTTCCTTTCCAACATGTAAAATAACCAGACAGATATGATTGAGAAATATCTAATTGATCAACATCTTGGTACACTTTAAAATTTTACAAAAAATCCATTTGATATGATCCCCCGCCCACGCATGTATGGGCAGGCCTGTAGTTTTTGCAGCGTCAATCTTTCCCGGTAAACAAATTTCTCGTGTATCACATCATTAGCTCATCGTGACATTGTGACGCGCGCAAAACCTAGATCTCCCTTCGGCATTTTGCGGGTTACATTTTTCCTTAATATGTGCCACAAGTCTGCCTGGCTATTTCAAAATCCATGCATGAATGACTGAATTGATGACTGGACTGGATACCTTAAATATAATCGAAGGGTGACTTTCATATTGATTCATAATTGGACAAAAAGAACATTTAGAAATAAATTGACATGTTGACTTATTTAAGTATGACATTGACCTGAATAAGTTAGATATGGCATTGACCTTTAAATGACATTTTACCGTCGGGATCAAATTATTAGAATGTTTAAATTGGCATGACTTTATTACTTATACTTGTATACTTGAACAAAACGCCATCAATGATGAAACAGATCTATTCAATAATTAAAATAAGTATTTGGACAAAACACCATTCATTGCGAAAATTGCATTATTCAACTTTGACCTTGACCTAAAAGTGACTTTTGTCATTTGTAAAGGTCAAATGACTTTTTTTTGGTATAAATTTGAGTTTTTTTTATTCTATTTAGTTTCTCTCGACAGGAAATAAATTATTTATCATCAACTCCGGGAAAAGATAACAAAACACCAAATGCTATTTAGGAATTGTCTTGTGCGTTGTGTAATACACATGTACAATATTATATCGGACACAAATTATAAATCAATTCAACTAAATAATTTCCCAATTCACTATGTTGATAATAAAGTAGCATAAGGTTATAAAATTCTCATGTTTTTGATGAGTTAAGTCCTTAAGAATGACTATCACTTAAAGGCTATATAATAATAATCGAGCTTGCTGCAGAGAAAAACATGGAAACAAAATAAAATAGACATCATAAAGTCTACAGCATACTTATGAAAAAAAGCCTGTAAAAGTCATTAAAAAATCTTCTTATGCAAAACAAAACGGACGGATAGATGGGCTGGAGAACATTATATATATCTTTTCTGCATTATGCAAAGACTTCGAATGAAGAAAAAATCTTAATGACGATTATCAATACTTTACACGCACGTAAATTCCTTGCAAAAACTGAATACACACAGTTTAATACACGCGCACTTTAACCTATGATTAATATAATAATATTCGGACACATTTAGAACAAGATCATCATACAAAATGAAGCAACTAACGTATGATCATGAATCCTTAATATAACAAAACATAATTAAATTAATTAAATTTGAAAAACAATGTCTTTTATTGATGAATTTGCTTTGTACTTGGACAGAACAACAATTGTGGCTAAACCGTCATATTTAAAAAAAAATAACCTTGATTTTAAATGCTTTTCCACCTATAAAGCATAAAAGACTGAAAGTCTGGCGGTCCTACAAGCGACAGCTCATGCTGAAACATGTTTTAATGGCATGGTCATGTTTCTTGTTTTATATTTCGCTTTAATAACCACAATTGTTATAAATTATAAATGTTTGACTGGTTTAGTTCATACTGTGACAAAACGATACTTATGATTACACCAAGATGTTGAGTATGTGACTGGTGTCAAGGTCAAATATGTAATTGCATTTTTTTTTGCACAAGAAAATGTAGTTTTCTTGGAGAATTCTTTACTCTTATATTATTCCTCCTCGTTTTTCGATGGTTTGGTTGAATTTATATTTTTATCCATCAATTATTTTTATATACTGTACTTTGATGGCATTTTATTCACTTTAAAATGTATATATATATACACGTTCTTTGAAGCGATTTTAAATAATTAATTGTATGACGCAAGAAACCACCTAAGATTCAAGATTCAAATGGAAAAGTTGTCAGTTATTTGTGGAGATCAGTTTATACTGTTACTGTTACAGAATCGAGAATCAATAGCCTTGCTAAATTCCTCGAGCTCCACCTCGAGTCTCGGACCCACAACCGCATGCATACAAGGCGAGAGTCCTATCTGTACAAATTTAGGCAATCTGAGTTTAATACAAATTGTATTTATATAGTGCAGAAAACGTTTAAATAGTTCTTCAAATTCAATTTAGATGAACAATTTTGATTTTATTGCGAACTGTAACGGCATACTTCCTAGAGTGGAAGAAGTGAAAGTAAAATGTAGACCTACATAACACAGGCAACAAAAACTTACCAATACAAGTTTGCACTTGGCCACATTACACATTTCACGATTAGAGTTAAAACCAAAGTTTTAATATCTAAATTTGGTCGCAACTTAAATCCGGGAGTATGAACTTTATTATCAGATATACATGTATATGTTGAATGGAGGCGCATCAAGAGTGCTTTATCTACTGATTACTGAAAAAAAACATAACGGACTTTATAACGATAAATTGAGTCGCGTCATAACAAAACCAACACAATGGGTTTGCGACCAGCATGGATCCAGACCAGCCTGCGCATCCGCGCAGTCTAATCAGAATCCATGATGTTCGCTATCAGTTTCTCTACTTGTTATAGAGTTTGTAAGCGAACAGCATGGATCTTGATCAGACTACGCGGATGCGCAGGCTGGTCTGGATCCATGCTGGTCGCAAACCCATTATGTTGTCGTGACGCGGCTCAATTATATCCGCTACGACTGAAAAAGTTTTATCCTCTAAATGTCGACGTGTGACGGTGACTTTAAAATGGCGTCATCAAACTGCGTGACGTCTCACTGCTGCGTAATCAGTGGTTGCAAGTTTAAATTATACCATCTCATCTGAATTATGATCATTCATTAGTACTGAATACCTAGATCACTTTTAGGAGTTTGGACTCAACACGTTGAAACACATATATTTTGAATTACTATTCATTGACCTGCGCAGTATCAAATAAAACTATTTTATTTATTTTCTGGACAGAAATTAATACGTCACAACGTTATAGTCTATGTACATAAACTTATTACAAAACGCTATTTGCACGGACTTACAACAAAACGTCTCTACCTTAAAGTCTATTTGTACGGACTTATAACAAAACGTTATATAGTCTATTTGCACGGATTATAACAAAACGTCCCTACGCTATAGTCTATTTGCACGGATTATAACAAAACGTCCCTACGCTATAGTCTATTTGCACGGATTATAACAAAACGTCACTACGCTATAGTCTATTTGCACGGATTATAACAAAACGTCCCTACGCTATAGTCTATTTGCACGGATTATAACAAAACGTCCCTACGCTATAGTCTATTTGCACGGATTATAACAAAACGTCCCTACGCTATAGTCTATTTGCACGGATTATAACAAAACGTCACTACGCTATAGTCTATTTGCACGGATTATAACAAAACGTCCCTACGTTATAGTCTATTTGCACGGACTTATTACAAAACGTCCCTACGTTATAGTCTATTTGCACGGACTTATTACAAAACGTCACTACGTTATAGTCTATTTGCACGGACTTATTACAAAACGTCACTACGTTATAGTCTATTTGCACGGACTTATTACAAAACGTCACTACGTTATAGTCTATTTACATGGACTATTTACAAACGGTCACTACGTTATAGTCTATTTGCACGGACTTATTACAAAACTTATCTACGTCAAAGTCTTTTACATGGACAATTTACACACGGTCACTACGTTATAGTCTATTTGCACGGACTTTTAAAGTTTATTTGCATGGACATATGACAAAACGTCACTAAATTATAACATATTTACATGGACTTATTACTATAAATTACAACATGATTGCCTACTTGAAATGACTTTGAGCAAAACGTTACTACAAAAATGCCTGTTCACATGGACATACTATAATACTTTATCACCTGTTTAGAAGAATGTATAGACTGTTCATACTGACTTAAAATACATTTTTCCAGAATCACCTGTTTACACAGACTTTTTTTTAGAACGCTTCTGCGTTATCGTAAGACTATGGAATCAAGTGACGTCATCACGTTTTAACATGGACTTGTTATACATTTAAATATTATCTCCAATTACACCGACTTACTACGAAAGACAGCAATAACATTCAACTAAGTTTTGAAAATAAAGACTTGCGAAACTTCCAAGTTGTCGCCGCACCTCGCCACAATTTTTATGTTGTCAATATATAAATGTTCCAAAAAGTGATAAGTTATTCTACGAAAAACTGTGAGTAAGAATTCCTCTATTTAATATAAGTTATTCAACTAAAGATTCGTTAGGTTTAACTGTGTCAAAATGTTTTAAAGACATTGATTAATTGGTTGATTGAATGATTGATTGATTGATTCGGTTTTAAGTAACAAACATTGTAAAAATCAAATGGCGACTTTCCAGCTTTACTTGTGAAAGAAAACAGGAGGTTTTCTATGCTTTAGTTCAGGCACGCACGACCACCTGAGTAGAACCGCCGACTTTCCGCTCTGTTTGCTAATTTGATAGCTTCTTCACATGAAAAAATTCAGAAAATCTGGCCGGAATCGGATTCCGTCGTGAGACGCAAATGGCTTAAAGATAAAAACCATAACCACTCGACCCTGGATCCATTTGTTGTAAAAAGGAAGAGTAAATGATAATGTTTGCATAATTTTAAAAAAAGAGCGAATTCAACAGAAACCCGTACATGTCAGTTAAAAGCATCTTAAACGATGGTGTATAAAGAACAGGCGTGTTTTTAGTTGGACGAGGAGGCATGGCCAAATAAAGTGACTAACATAACAGAGTTGTTGCCTCCTGTATTAAGAACGTCTTGACTTAATGCCAAATTAAAAAAGAAATGAATAATTTTTAACCAAAGGTAAGTCCTGATAGAGGTTGGCATTAGACAATATTTTTACGCCACCAGGCCGCAAGGACACCAACCAGCTTGGCTGCCAACTTGACTTATAATTTGAACTTGGGACTATTTTCAGGTAAAGAATCCTCACGTCAAGCAAGCAAATTCTCACGACTGGAATGTATCGTATTTGGGTAAAAATTATTTCAAATAGAACCTCATCTGGATGTTAACGCTTTTCTGTTTATTTATTTGGGATATTTAATGTTTATACAGTATGTGAATGTAGTGCTGTATTGCCTTGATACTAAATATTTACTAAATTTTCAATGGTCCGGGCGAGCAAAACAAATTTATAAACTAGTCGCTATTTTGTGAATACTTTGCAGAATGAAATAATCATTTACACTGCTGTACAGCGTTCATCGGAAATAGTCCCTCAAAACATCGAAAACGAAAGTAAAAAGTTGTACGTTGAGTTCACCCGTGGCTACATTTCAACTTATTTCTCCATCATAACCTAATTTATCTTTCCTAATTAAAACAATTTTGTGAAGCTGAATACGTCTGGTTTTAGAACAGTATTTGCTTTTTTCTGCAAATTGAATTCTTTTTGTTAAATTGGCGATAAATTGTAGTGTATTTGATGACATTTGCGAGCGATGTTGATATTAACTACGAAATCGAGCCCAAAACGCATTTTCTGTACCAAAATCTGCCTTTAATTCAAAATACATGTATAGACTTCGCTCTACTTGTATTTTAGTGATATCATTATTTCCGGTGAACGATGTACAACAGTGATTTAGTCCTTATCCGAATTTTGACGGAATTGGCCGATTGCTTTTCCGATTGCTGTCACGGCATGTTCTTTGTTTCATGGTGACAGGAACTCCTGGTTGTGGCCAGTATATTTCAAGCTGGCAGATGTACTGTTGTGAATAATTTCGACGGTCATTTGCAATTCGAGTGTCCACACGAGAACCAGTTTATCTCCCATATCACGAGCGTGCACGACAATCATAGGGAAGATCGAGTCTTCGACATGAGTTGTGCAGATTTTCCAATTGACGTTGATGGTCTATTGACGTCTTGTACTTGGACAGGTACTACAGAAACTTATGTATTGTTATATTTGTATATGTGTTTCACAAATTGGAAATCTTTGTAGTTTTCGTTTTCAGTTTTAGTTGCAATTTGGAAGGTTTTAACATTTTGAATTTGTACCGAAATTAATTAACCTAATATACTTCATATAGTCATGGAAATCAAAGGCTGGTTTGACCCTAGTTCCAAATTTGGTTTGATTATTATCTCAAGGTTTCTTTTGGGAACACATGTCGTTGGTTTTAAGCTCACCATCTTGCATTCTTTTGATTAAGCATTGTTTGGACTAATGCTTTATATAAAGGCAAGTGTGTATTTCAGAGTATGTTAACGACTGGGACGGGCTTTTAGCTTTTGAATGTAATGACAACATGTACATAAATGGTTTGCAAAGTGATCACGACAATCACAGTGAAGACAGAAGATGGAAAGTAAAATGTTGTGAAATGCACGATATGTTACAAAATATAAAACATTTTGTTTAATATGGCTGATTGATTGATTGATTGATTGATTCATTCATTCATTCATTGATTGATTGACTGACTGACTGACTTTGACAACTTTCAAATAGTAACACTAATAGTGCATAAAGAGTGAGAATAATGTAGTTTAGGGCTATTTAAAGAAAAGAGCTACTTAACCTCGGAAATTATAAAGTTCCATGTTTTAAAACAGAAATCAATCGTTTATTTGAATTATCTCAGTTCATTAGGGTGACTAAGTTATTTTATCAAAGCTTGATTTAACTTGGCCTTTATTTATACACTCGTATTTAGAATATTGAAGCATTAAAACAAGGTTCATGAAACTTTTTTCGAGCATAAAAAAGGTGCATGTTTTCTTCTCAGTAAAAATACACCTGTGGGTGCTGTTTAAATGCAAGAATAACGGCTGTGTAATCCCTAGTGGTCAATGTATGTATCTCTCAATTCTCGAATCGTTGGTGCGATTCTTACTGCGATCACAACCTGTTTTCCTAATATGACACCGAGCACCAACATCTGACTTTAGAGTGGCTGACATTAGCTTTAAGCTTTCTTCAAAAAATGATAAAGGTAAACATAATTTATGTCTTACTGTACCATCTCAAAAGTGTGTTGGTTATGAATTCATGAATTCTTTAATGCAGAAATACTGTAAACGTATGTCAGGATGGGGAAAATAAATACAATTCTTATACAGTTTTCTAAGTTTATAACACGTATTTCGGCAACAACAGTGTCTAGTGAGTTAATTATACTGGATATAAATACATACCAACTTACAAGTTTGATTAACAATGACGTTTGTAAGAATGTTTACTGTATTTGAACTTTGGCGGTTTTAATACTTTATTTACGTTACTTGGAGGTCAAGACCAAAGTGACAACATTGGTTGGATTCCGACTTTTATAAGGTTCGATGTTTGAAATCCACCAATGAAACAACAGAAATCCGGAAATCCTCCAATGGACAGACGGCCGGATTTCTGAATCTGAAATCATGGATCTCAATGGCGGCCATATTGAAATCTCATATAAAATCTACATACGAAAATCGTTAATATACAAAAACATGTAGTGAATACTTAAGGATTTCTGACCTTAATCAATCATAAATTTTACATAAATTACGTTCTTGAATTGAATTTGACTGAAATTGATATTAACAATAAGAAATCTTCAATATAAAATATCAAGTGACATATTTCAAAGATGTCTGTCATTGGACGTCTGCTACACAGAAAATGTAAAGAGAAAATCAGTTTTCTGCTATGCAATAAGGTAAGTTTAACATTTCTATCAACTTAATTGCAAAGTCAATAAGTGTCAATACAGTGTTCCTTCAGATTAATCAGGTAAGTGAATCTTGTTCTTGTAGAAGTCAACAAATTATGAAGCTATAGGATTTCACAATGTCACTTTGATTTCATTATAAGTTCTGTTGTAAGTACATTTCAGAATTATGCTAGAATGTCAGATCCTTACAATACATCTAGCTGATTGTCACTTTACTGCGTGAACTAATGTCTATGATGACAGGCAGTATCTTGATACCGGAAGTAGTCACGTTATGAAAGGCATAATTTCGATTCATGATAATCACCGAGAGTAAGTTCAAATCATTTTTCATGAATATTTATGAATATAATTTAATATTAATGGAAAATTAAGAAATATTAAAATTGAATGAGAGATATGAATGAAGTTGGCGGGTAACAAGAATTCTTTGAATAAAGTACGTTTACATTTGTCGAATTCGTACATTGAAGTACATTTGAACTGATCGTTTGTCCTTAACAATGAGTATGCCCCAGGAACATTTTTGTTTTGCCTACAAAGGGCAATGCAGTCTTTTTAGCATTGAATAGTATTTCAGCTGTGTGAGCGTTAAATATCAGTCAGTGGTGCTTTGTCCTTATTTTCCTGGACCGAAGTCTCTGATTAATAATTACCGTTTTTTTCAATGTTAAATGTTCTGTCAAACTGTTGTAAGGGAAAGCATTTACAATTATCATCATTGTTTATCAGAATTGAATATTTAGCTTGATGATTAGATCTGAGGGTTCATAGATATAAGTGTTTTTACATAATATAATACATTTTGTTGCTATTTTTGCCAGGGACCGCATTTACAAGTTTGAGACATGTAAAGTCTATCGCAACGAGGGAACCGCTCTTATCGGCTGAGAAGGAAACAGAGAAAAATGTATTTGAAATGATATGAATAAACTAAACTTCAAATTCGTTTACTTTTTTTAAATATACAAAGTCGAATTTCACTGATATTTACGGCCATATTACGTTGAAAACACCAGTTCTCGTCAGATCACCGAAGTTAAGGTATTAGCACCCTAATGCATTACCTCCGCTTTGAAGAGTATTCTAATAGGCTAGAATTACTGTTAACTACATTGAAAATGAGGGCCATGGGTTCAATCCCCAGAAAGGTCAACTTTTTTTTCCTTTCTTTTTTTCTTTTAACATTATTTATGTATCTCTCATGTCCCATATGGAAAGAAAAAAGTGTTTAATTTTGAATTTTTAATTTATATAGGTATTTATTGGCTAAATTATGCTAAATCTAGTAATAAATATGGTACCTGATATTTTCAATGTGTAATATAATCAAAACTAGACGGTAAAAGTATTTCATATTTTACAAGATCAACCAATATACTTTTTTAAAAATTTAGGGAAACTTTTAAAACAGGCACTCATTTGGGTAAATTTTAAGAATTTTTTGAATTAGCCTCCCTAAGTAGAAAAATGGTCAGACATGTGGTAAAAATAGGTGGGGTAGGGTAACATTTTTATACAGATTTCATAAATTTTAAGTAGAAACCATAATTTTGCTTATGTGGATTGTTAGCTGAATGGTACTATTTGTTTCTTACCAAAAATTCATGGGAAAACATTTTTCATTAGAATGTTATTGCAGATTATTTAAAGGTTCCTCATTTCTAAAAAAGGGCCCTCATAACATCCTAGCTTGAATTCAGAAAAGTGGCCATAACTTGATTTCCGTACGGTAAACTTTGTTTAAATTTTGCATACAGGTGTACTTTAAGGTATACATCTGACCTATGATGTAAATTCTTTAGTTCCTGATAGTGCCCATTAGGGTCCTAATACCTTAAACAACGTCGAGCCCGTTCAGTATCTGGATGGTTGACGGCTTGGAAATACCGGGTGCAGTAGACTTTCTGGACATTTTATTTCCTCTCAAGAAAGTGTTTTGCTCGTTCCTTTAGGGCAGCAAGGGCCTCCAATTTATGGTATGTGGCGCAGGCTTCGTCAAAATACTACAGTAACGGTATGCACGTACGCAAGTAGAAGAGTTTGATTGCCGAAAAATATGTACGCAGCTTGATTAAATACATGTAGCCACATACCTCTACATATAGGCCTTCTATATCATCCCCGGAATTTGAAGCACTGAATATTGGTCTTACATTGCGGTATTTAAGATTTCTATCATAGTTTTGGGACCTTTCTGTTGAAAATGTGTCAGAGTTAAATCGTATATATATACATGCATGCACAGTGCGTTAACTGGAGTGCAGGTATTAGTTACCCGCACTGCAGAGCAGGCCAATTGATTGGCTCATTTTTGCTAGGGTTTACTTATTGTGACGGTAGAGAACGGGAAAGCGATAGCAATTTCATATTCAGATGCTCGTTCATTGATGACTTTTTCGTGCGGTTTCATATTGTGACAATAGGGACCGTGTCTTTATGTTTGACTATGATACAAAAGAGATTGTATCATAGTTTGAGGAAATGTGTCGGAGTTAAATCGTATACATATACATGCACAGTGCGTGTTTTGATGTTTGACTATGATACAAAAGAGAAAGAACATCAACACACTCGGCAATCTGATTAATACTCGGGGGGGGGGGGTGTACGCACCCTCGTACAAATCAGATAACCTCGTGTTTCGATGCTCTTTCTATTACAGAACGTAAATGACGTCACGTCAAAATATATGCTCGACCGTGCATAACCTTTTTTACGGAGTCGCAAAGCGGCACGGGTATGTGATAAATATGACTTCTTTACTTGTTGAAGTGATACTTTTATTCCAATAAAATGCGATAAAATATAAGAAATACTCGTAGTACTGACTGACCTAACCTTATCAGCAACAAACATTAAATGGCCTCCGTCTTCGGTTCGGGCTGACTGACCAGTCACTTTGATGCTAGCCAGCCCTGACTAGTGTATAATTATATACTAGCTTTTTTATATAAGTTTTTGATTAATTAGCATCTTATAATCATTATGTACAATGCAACACATTTACTCACAATGCCAGGTGCAAACAAACGAAAATAATTTTCATTTTTTCGTGTATTTGCAGTACATATACTTTGTAATGAATTTATTAAGATACCACGTCTCTCTAATTACTATATATATCGACACACTTGGTCTTTTCTTTCACAGCTAATTGATCGTATGTGATTGACCACTTGATGCCCATCATGTTCTATGTTGTTAGATAAGTAAAATCGAATGTTTATGTCAGTTTAATAGCGTCTTCCTCTTATTGAATTGTCATTTCTCTTTGTTTCCTTTATATAACAAATGTCCTCACGTTCTCTCGTACTGACGGGCGTACGGATGGTTACTGTCATTTCAATCTTTTCGATTTTTTTTCGGCGGGGAAACAGCAAATCATGTTCAACCGTCAAAGGTAATGGCAGCACCTCTTTACAAGTTGCATGGTCTCATTATACATGTACTTAATAATGTATATTACTGTGTATCTAACTAAACACAGGGTGGTTTAAGGTATCACATCTAGCATTTTGCCAACATTTATTGGAGAAAACAGATAAATTTATTTTATAGGATGGAGGATCACGTGGCAACTGTTTACTTTAAAATATAATAATAATATAATATTAGTATTTGCTAATTTTTATGTCGCCTTGAAAAGGCGACAAATATGGGTTACTTTTGTCGGCGGTGACGGCGGTGTCCCCTTAGGCTTGTCCACTATAAGTCGGATTGACTCCACACTTGGTATTCATGCTTCTTTTAAAGACCCGAAATGCAGTGCACTAGAATCGTTACTCTGCATTTCTTACTTTTTTTAGTTATTGCCCTTGGTTAATGTTAAAATCCTAAACTATAAAATCTATGGACTTGAAACTTCATAGGATGATGGATCTCATTGAGAAGAAGTGCCGTGCAGTGCACAAAATCGGTACTCAGTACCTCATGATTTTTTAGTTATTGCCCTTTGATAATTTTCATACTTTTTTGTCCGAGCAAAGTCTACTAAACATTAAAAGCTATAGATTTGAAATTTCATAGGATGAAATATCTCATTGCGAAGAAGTGCATGATATTTGAGTTATTGCCCTTTATTAATATTCTTACCTAATAGGCTTGTCAAGTGAGTTATTGCCCTTTGTTAATTTTTAATCTTTATTTTTGTACTGGCCATTTTTCTAAACTATAAAAGCTATGGACTTGAAACTCTATAGGATAGAGAAAGTGCAGTGCACAAGAACTTGTACTCTGTACTTACTGCTTTTTTAGATATTGTTCTTACTTAACAGACCTGTCTAGAGCATAATTTGGTCACTTTGAGTTTGGTTGAATGCAAGCTTTTTTTCATTGACCTGAAGTGCAGTGCACAATAATCCATCACATAGTCCTCCGTTTGATCTGTCAGTGTAAAACTTTTCCATGATATTTTTAGTTTTGATAACTTAACAGTTTTATTAAACTGACGTAACATTGTTGCAATCAGTTAAAATGCCACTAAAGTTAAAGGTACATGTACATTGCAAGAGTGGTGTTTATAAATAAGCTATATTTACGAAAGATAAGAAGAAAATGCATGACAGCTCTATAATGTTGACAAAGCGGCACATCCGACTCGCGGAGTTCTACTTCGTTTTTCATTTATATATTTGAGTAATAATATACATACCCCATATTCAGGGCAAATATTTTCCGAATCTAATTTTTCCTATGTAGCCATTGAACGTCTCCCGAAAGAGTGGCACATATTTTCATCAAAATATTGCTACATATGAAAGTTCTGCAAGTAAAAAAAGCTACAATGGGAAGTTATATACCACTGGAACTGGCAAATATTTACCTGGAACATGCTATATGTTGTTAAATAGTCAAATAAAGGTAAAGCAAAGAAAAACACAAAAAAACAACAACAAAAACAAACAAACAAAACAACAGCAAATACCATGAGTTGTGACCCAATGTTACCGTAAACAAATGTCACTTGCTAACCTACCCTGTAAAAAAAGGATGAAATACATGTACATTTTATAGTGAGTGTTAAAGGGGACATTTTTCCTACCAATTGATCTCAATGATTCTTTTGTCAGAGAAGCATTCGGGAAAACTGTAAAAGTGTGTTTCTTGTTGCGAAAAGCACACATTTTGACTAGATTGATAATTATATTGAAGCATAAGGACATTATTAGTATGCACAAAGTTTAATTAGAATTGACGAAGTAATGAAATTTTTTATTGAAGTTTGCTCCACAATAACTGCATGTGATACCTTAAAATGACTAAATATCACATGTTATGAGGATTTTTTTTCAAAACACGGATTATTCGTGCTCTGGACATATCATTACTTAAGAGGCTACCAATGGGGTATTTGTGTGTGAAGGGGAAAGTAGGGGAGGCCATTAAATTATATAATTAATTTTTCTATTACCAGTATTATTTCTTCACATATTTTTGTAAATGGCATTATTTTTGGTACTTAAAGTGGTTATTAAATTAAACATATATTTAGTTCTAAGCCTCAACAGTCAAAAATATGAATTTATTGGTTTCCTTTCGGCGATCCGCGCCTCATTTGTTTACACACTATATAAATTACATTATGGATTAATAGAATGCGCCATCCATGAAAATATAGAAAAACATGTTTTCCTCGTGCATTTTGCATTACAAAATTCGCATATAAACGCTCAATGTCAACCGTTTTTGTCATTCCACCTTCACCAAGCGACAAGGCAAGTCGGGTGTTCCTCGAGTGCTGCGTTCGGAGATTGTACCATTAGATAATTTGAGACATTTGAATTGAACTTCATATCTTCAGGTAAAAATATTTGTTCTTCTTTACTTACAGTTTATTGTTTGATTTTATTAACCTGTCAATTCCATACTGATTATACGGTCAATGCACAGAATATATTAATATTCGATAAATGTTCGGCAAATTCCGTGATTAAACTTATCTAGTTTCGATGAATAAGTTACACTGACCGTTATAGCGCAATAGGGTACGGGTATATTTTATCTGAATGTCCAACGTGTTGTAAGATCGAGACAGAGTATGTCCAGGTTTTTTTCTTATTCATAACTATTTTCAACATTTTTGAAGTTATGGTTGTTCCGTTTTTAATATGTTTTGCACTTTTTTGTAAATACTATACTTTTGTATATAACATTGTTATATAATAACTGTTTGTTATAATAGAATTAATTTCTGAAAATTCATTAGGATTAAAATCAATTAATGTAATTTGAGTACCGTAAAATACAATACAAAATGTGACAATTCAGTGTTTCTTAGGTGTTTCATATCCGTGTAGACAATTTTGCAGGCGCTTGACCATTTAATAAAAAAATTCTTAAAAATAAAGAAAGAATAAGTCTAAAAAGAATGTCGAAAGAAGGGATCGAACCTCGGACCTCTCATGCATTAGGTAATCACTTAACCGACTGCGCTATTGCGGATGTTCCCAGAACCTTTATTAAGCTAGTGGGAGTTATCCAAACATTATTTATTTGCTCCATATTAATTCTCGTAAAATAAACGGACACAACCGAAGTGGGATCGAATATTTAAATGAGTGCTATAATGTATTCATAATTGACAGGTCAATAAAATCAAACTATACTTAAAATGTCCTGAATGTGTTGTGTTTCAATTGTGCTTATCGACCCGTTCAATGCCATTTTACCGGAAATGGAATCGTGCATAGACTGGGATACAAATGAGTTTGCTTCTGATACTGCAGAGCAAGACTCGGACATTATTTAGTTTTGTTAATATTTGACAACTTATATAGCATCAAATGATACCGTAAATTTTTTAATGTTTACATGCTTATATATTATTGTAAATTACGTATATATTATTGTAAATTACGTATATCTACGTTTGACCGAACACGTGGCATATCTTGTTGCAATATTAAGCTGAATCTCTATTAATGGTCGTATCTGCACTGCACATAGCACGTTTGACCGAACTATCTGCACTGCACATAGCATTGGTTAATAATGGGTCTGTTAAAGACTAAACACGTCTACACATTATCTGATTATTGCACTGAAGATATTTTCAATTTTTGGTCACTAATTTGTTTACTTATTTTACAACTATTAATTCTGATCGTGCATCCATAGTTTTAATTATCGCTAGTGCGTCGTTATTGTAATGCGAAAACTTTAAAGTAGCCTTTTAACTAAATTTGTCAATTACATATAAAGTAGAATGATTTCTATGACGGGTTTCAACACTTTTTCATAAAAATTATGACGCTATACACCATTTTGATTTAGCTTATTAACCATGTAGTTTGGTTTTGAAATGAAGGGACATCATTCTGAAATTGGCATTTGCTTGAGTATCTTTTCATAACTATATAATAAAAGAGATCACAGGAAATTGACATTCTATAGGCAAATAATTAAAAAATAACGGCAAATATATCCCTCTATACTATGAATGCAACGCCTTTTGCACACTCGATACACATTTTATCTAATTACACACGTGGAAAATCAATGTAAACAAATTAGTTTAGCAATTTCGATACACAATACAAAATTAGTCCTTTTACAACCGCTGATATTTTAAATCGAAGCATTGTATAATAATAAATTGGCAATATTCACTCAAATGTCAACAACAAATTTTGCCGTTATTTTTTAATTATTTGCCTATAGAATGTCAATTTCCTGTGATATCTTTTATTATATAGTTATAAAAGATACTCAAGCAAATGCCAATTTCAGAATGATGTCCCTTCATTTCAACCTATGAAGAGATCAACATTGAGCATTGTGTACTTTAGTGTCGTAGAATGCACACCGTGTTTTCAAGTCGAACTTCATTAAAATGTTAAAGTAATCGTACATTTTTATGATATACAGGTATATACACTTAACAAATCTTATAACTGTGCACGTATAAAATTCAAATTTTTAAGATAGGTCTCTGAAATTTTAACCAAATAAAGTATACATATGTGCAATGTTGGGTATCGATTTTTATGTCAGGGCGATTCGTATTTACTGAGAAATAGCGAAGTGTGCAAGATTGCGCGAAAACCGAATTTCACATTTCTGTAAAATGCGTGTTTATAATGGGTGCAAAAAGGTCTAAATCTCTTGATTTCACTAAAATACAAACATAAAACATAGGATCATCGATAGGGTATAATACTACAATAAATTCCAGGGCATTATGTCGCTGTGATTTTAATATTTGCTTTATTGAATTTAAGTTAAGACTGGTTTATGTCGACCTCCGTAACGCGTTGTACCCAGTTACTAAAAGCAATGCAAACACGATATTTTCATTAATATGAAAATACCAAGAAAGTTTGTTTTTAGTTTTAAAGTAAAATGTTAGTCAATATGTTTATTTGAGAAAATATTATGCAAATTTATTTTCAAAATGGGCGCCCGAAATGCAAATTCCCTTGCGAAAAACTTGTAGACGGCCATTTTTCTTTCAATTGCAAAAATTATGCAATAAATGTGTGTTTTTTGGATATCTTTATTTTAATAGAATCCTTGATGGTCAATAATAACTTCATTTAGCGCCAACCTGTCGTCCTCACGTGCACTTTGTTGTTAATGTACATGTCACGGATGAACGCACACAACAAAAATAACCGTTATTTCTGAATATAGCATTTTAAAAATAAACCATTCAAACGATGAATTCCAAAATTTGGGTAAAAAATGTCAAGTAATAAAAAAGTTATTCACATTTAAAAACTGCAGTTATAAGTTTTGTTAAGTATATATATATATATTTGTACATATTAAACGGTTCTAGTATTAATATTTAGTCGGGCGCTTATGAAAATCTTTAAAATTTTACCTCGTTCCTGAAATATTTCGAACCAACATTTATACTTTACACTTTTTATATTTTTAATTTTCAGATCAAGGATCGTCTTCACGTCGAGCAGAATAATTCATCTGAAATGCATCTTATTTGGGTAAGAATTATTGAATTAAATTTTATATACATTTTTGTATGCCTTCAATTGTTTTAATTGATCTCAGATATATTCTGATAGGGGATTTATTTTCACCGCTGATGCAGAATTCCTGTCTTGATTCAAAATGGACAAATCTACCCCCCCCCCCTTAAAAAACCCAGAGAAATCAAGCTTTCAAAATGTCATTTGAAGCATTTTGTCAAACACGTATTAATATGCCGTACATCTTGCCTTATTATTGCTTTTTTGGTAGTAAATATAAAATATAAAACCTTCTCGACGTCTCCCTTAAATGTTTATGCGCATTATAAGTTTATAAGTAATAATTGCATTCATTTCTGGTTTAAAAAAATTTGGCTTGGACTTTATCGAAAATTTCAAATTACCTACCTTTACTTACATGAAATGTAAATTTAGAAATATATTAACAAATAATTCTTTTTGGAACTTGCGCTATTGGTAAATCTTAAGCATCACATTAATGGTATAAAAACCAATAAAGAAGGTGAAAGATACAGGACCTTTATAATGTTATAATGTGCTGATTTTAATTTAATTTAGGAACTTGTAATTGTGGCCAGTATCATACACACTGGGAGCTGCACTATTGTCAACAGTTTAGACCGGCCGTTACAATATGAATGTCGTTATGAGAACCAGTTCATCGCCCAGATAACCAGTGTACACCACAATCGCCAAGAAGATCGTGTCTTCGACATGAGTTGCCGAGATTTTCCATGTGATGTTTCTGACTTAACACCCACTTGTACTTGGACAGGTATTATTTAATAAAACTTGTATACATTGTTTTATGTGTGCTCACGTCAAGCCAACCAGAGCAGTGTTCGGAATGTAAGGTTTTTGTAATAGCATATGCGTCCTCCTCCGCCCATTATCCCCATCTTGAGTAGATTTTAACAAACCTTTATTCAGAAGATCCTTACCTGACCTTTCACAAGAAAATGTTGACGAGAAGATCAAAGTGCCACACGTGAACTACATTGCATTTTATTTATAACGGGTGCAAATTCTTTAAAAAAAAAGGTTTAGGGCATGGTCTTTATGACATGGTATATGTTAAGTAACGTGTCGTGTATTATGTTATCATTTGCTCAACAGTTGCAATATACCTTATTCCTATACACAGTATATCAAACATTTTGAAGCATTTGTGGCCGTGTGGTTAGTCGTTCAATTTAAACCACATGCCCCTCAACGCTGTGGGTTCGAATCGCGACAGAAACTTTGGATTTTTTTTATGTGAGGAAGCTATCTAGCTAGTTTACGAAACGTTGTGGTTCTACTAAAGCGTCCGTTCGTGCCTGAAATAATGCAAGTACACCCGAGGTCTTCCTCCAGTAGTAAAATAAACCTGGAACGTCACCCTATGATCAATACTGTGACAAACAATCATTATTCAGAATTACTACGGTGTTCTTTGTGAGCCACTTTATCAGCTTCGTTAAGATTGCCTTCAGAGAACATAGTTTTGTAATACAGGTGATCATGTGGTTCATTACATAAAATATCCTGGAAAAACTTTGCTTTGGCCTGAAAACGGTATACCTTCATTAGTAAAGTTTATAACTGACACACTAGGGAACAGTTTATTTCTCGCTTGTATTATAGTTGATCATATGACCATTGAGCCTTAAATTCCTCCAAATAACTCAAAAAAGCTGTTGTGTTTACATGACCCTTAGGGGACACCGTAGATAATACGGAACCACAAACTTATTTGTTCGAATTGATTAAAGTCCTTTTTCATGTCTGTTTTAAATCCCAACCATACACTGAAAAATGGGAGTGGATGGATTTGCTTGACAAGTTGTAAACTGAATATTCTGTGATTTCAGAGTATATTAACGACTGGGACGAACCCATTGTATATCAATGCTCTGGCAATAGGTACATCGGTGGTTTTCAAAGTTACCACAGCAATCGCCAAGAAGACAGGAGGTGGAAAGTGAAATGTTGTGGCATGCCTGGTAAGTTTTGTTACGTTTTTATCTCTTTAACTTTTAGCTGGTCTATTTCCATGAAAGTGGAGCTATTATGATCACTTTGATGTCGTCATGCAAACACATTTGTTTATTACTCAACAAGTTTATAAAGATACTGATAATAAGTGTGATATAAAACTTGGAATACTTATCAAGACGGGCAAGTGTATATTCTGACAAATGACATCATTCTTAATTTCATTTTTGGAGTAATGGCATTTTTTTTAACTTGCACAATTTTTTAGACGAGCATTAACACCACATGCGATGCTCTTGTATGTAATGGATTTTCCCATATTTGAAATGGGGCGTCCGTGGCCGAGTGGTTAAGGTCGTTGACTTCAAACCACTTGCCCCTCGCCGCTGAGGGTTCGAAACCTGACTGGGACTTTGGATTCTTTAATGTGAGGAAGCTATCCAGCTAGCTTATGGAACGTCGGTGGTTCTACTCGGGTGCCCTTTCGTGCCTGAAATAATGCACGGAAGGGCACCTGAGGTCTTCCTCCACCAGTAAAGCTGGAACGTCGCAATATGACCTATACTGTGTCGATGTGACGTAAAACACATTCAAACAAACAAACAAACCATATTTAAATTTGAAACAGTCCAATTTAAAATTTGAAACTTTCAATACATCTGTAACTACCTATTTCAATTAACTATCTAACAGTATGAAGCCAAGGGCAAACTTCTTGGCTACAAGTGATATCAAATTATGCCGACGTATCATAATTTACATTTTTAATATGTAGATGGCCTGATGATAAAGGTCATCATTGCCTTTAAATCAAAAAACTTTAGCCATACTCGCCTCAAGATCACATTTGCTCATGACACCAGTGCAGTTTATACTTAACACAAGGAGAAATGGGACTAAATGTTAGATCTCTGTAAACAAAATTAAATATGTGTCCAAGTAATACCTTTTTATGTCTTGTAAACAACATAAGTTTTATCTTCTGTTATTTATTTTCTCTCAGGTGTTCAGCTGTCTAATTGTCATTATACTTCATGGACCAATAACTACGATGGTCAACAATACTTCAATGCCGGAACTAGCCGAGTTACGAAAGGCTTGGTCTCGATTCATAGCAACCGTCGCGAGTAAGTATAATCTATTTGAAAGCAGCACGCCGAACTTGGGCTTTCATGACAACTTTTAAATGTTCGTTATTAATGTCTGTGATGTGTAAAATTTAGTTTATTTCACCAAGCCTACACATTTTGTCAACAAGTGAAGTATGCCTTGATTATACATGTACTGATCAAATATCAAATATATAAAGAAAAAATAATTATACACTTGCGCTAAAGAACACACTATAAAGAAACCACACTCGCTATAATTTGTCAAAATATACTTCATTTTCTGATTTCGTAAATAAGTAGAAGTACTTTGAAGTACATTAATCTGTAACTTTGTGACAATAAACTATGCCATATTTTGTATAATGCATCGAACGGTTATCCTGGATTTATGAACATTACTGGTTGTGAATGCAATTGGTTAATGATTTTGTATAAATTCAAATATCACGTTTTGTTAGTGTCCAACTTTATTTGTCATCCAATGAAAACGCTGTATTTCTTAAAAATTCTGTGCGTTAATTTTCATAGAACAAAAGTCGATACTATGTATATGTTAGTGTTCATCCGTGCTGTTCTACAGAAATTAGAAACTTCGACGGGAGCGATAGCGACAGGAGAATGTTTCTAATTTCTGTAGAACAGCACGGATGAATACTAACATATTTAGTGTCAAACTTTATTTGGCCTCATTATCATTCACTTTATTACGTCACTATGCGGTTTTATGAAGTACTATGAAAAATAGAAGTCGACTATGAACGGAATTCGATATAGTATCGACTTTTGTACTTCTATGAAAATTAACGCACAGAATTTTTAAGAAATACAGCGTTTTCATTTGATGACGAATAAAGTTGGACACTAAATCGAATTCCGTTCATAGTCGACTTCCATTTTAAATAGTACTTCATAGAACGGCACAGTGACGTAATAAAGTGAGTGATTATGAGGCCAAATAAAGTTTGACACTAAATATGTTAGTATTCATCCGTAGGTGTTCTACAGAAATTAGAAACATTCTCCTGTCGCTATCGCTCCCGTCAAAGTTTCTAATTTCTGTAGAACAGCACGGATGAACACTAACATATACTTAGTGTTTATTTAAAAAAATCAATGATCAAGAATAACACATAATTAAATTGAATATAATGTCCTTTGAATTTTTCAATTTACATATACAAGTTCGACATGAAGAAAAATCTTTCTTTTTTTCAGAAGTGAATATGAATTTTCCAAAGGTAGATCACCATTTATGCCTAAAATAATTTGTGGTTTTATTTTAAGGAACTCTTAATTGATTTACTTTCTATTCAATTCTCAGGGATCGTATTTACAAGTACATGACGTGTCAAGCTTCTCGCAACTAAGGATTGGTTCTGGTTGGCAGAGGCACCAGAATTACTGTGTATTGAATATTGTATTTGACTTGTTATGAATAAAGTTGTTAAAATGTTTTTGTGCTTTCTCATTAATCTATACTACAGCCTCTGCATAACGGCCATTTGTACGCAAATTACCTAATATATATCCATACCAACTCCTTCCAAAAGACTTCACATAACCACTTTATCAACACCACTTGGCAAAAACCAAACAGACCTTCCATTGTCCAAAAAGGTTTACTCTGCAGAGATTGTTAACTTCACCATTAGGTTTACAAACTTTCTATTAACTGCTATTTAACTATTAGTTAAGGACTAATTGTGCTCCCGAAGGATGAGCATATAGTCGCCGCTTTGTCCGTCCATCTGTCTGCTTTTCTTGTCCGGGACATAACTCGAACAAGAGCCGTCAACATGAAACTTTGTAGTTTGATCTCATTGGGTAGATATAATGCTAAGGAACCATAACTCCGCCTTGTCTAATTTTGGTGTTATTGTCCTTTGTTCATTTTTTCACTTTGAACTTTGACTTAATGATACTATTAGGTTGAGCTCATTAAATAGAAGTACAGTGCAAGAGAACCGTATCTGTCTTGCTTAATGTAGAAGTTATTGCCCTTCGTTCGTTTTTACACTTTGAACATTGTCCAGTACATAGCAGATTTACAGATTAAAGAAAACACTTTGTAGTTCGTACAGTGCACAAAAGAACCCTAACTCTGCCTTACCTTATTTTGGAGTTTTTGCCCTTTGTTTATTTTTACACTTTGAACTTCGACCAGGACCTTACTGTGGAACTAAGACAACTTAGTCGGTAGATCTCAATTCAGTAGTCGAAGTTTGGAATTATCGCATTTTGAACTTTGTCTGCAACATAACTCTGAAACTACAAAAGGTATACTTTTCCGTCTCCAAAATCTATTCGGGGAGCATCACCCCGTTCAACTGGTTCTTGTTTAACCAAGGCGACCAGTACAGACCAATATATCAGTCGGGACGTTCTGATCTTAGTCCGTCTTATTCGCTATTCAGCAACTGTTTTTTTTCCTCCTAAAAATGAGTTTTATCCAAAGTGAATGATGGACAAAATCATTTTTAGCTTACTGATTTAACTGAAATGTTTTCATGTAAATTTTGACCATGTATGACCTTCCTGGGCGGGTTTTAAAACTGAAAAGAGGCACACATTTTTCACTCTATGCCAGTAATAATGAACGCAAAAAAAAACTTCGTCCGAAATTCCTGTTTCCATCACGATAAAGACACCACGTCTCTAACAATGTCAGACACACACTTGGTCCTTTCATAGGTAATTGATCGTGTGTGATTGACCACTTGATGTCCATTATGTTCAATATTGTATAAAACAAGAAAAATCGAATGTTTGTCAGTTTAATAGCTCCTTCCCTATGAAATTTTCATGTCATTTCTCGCGACACATTTTTCTCACGTTACACCACAAACTCTGGTATTATTGGGGCTTTTTGGCCTTGGTGAATATCGAATATAAATTGTCGAATCGATTGAGGAATACGTTTAAAATTATCACAACATAACGTCTTTTGCTCTCGTACGATACATTCTTATTCATCATAACGAGTCTTCTTAATTTAAAACTAAAAATATCAGATATACTAAAAGTGAAATCTGTACTGTTGGGATTCCATAGCATATCACAGTATATACTAGTGTAGAAAGACCTCGTGTCATATCATTTCGAGCACTTCTTTCCCTTGTAACACACGAGCCAATGGTAACCCCAGCCCCCATTCCCGTTCATAGCGGATGAATGAGTCGGAAGTTTTACCTCCCCCCCCCTCCCCGCCATCGCCCCATACTGCGATGGATTTCTTTTGCCTCCAAAATAAAATGACCGGGATGAGTTCAAATCGCAGTGATGGGGCTTTCTGCAGGGGGGTTCACCAGCTCCCTCCAAAGGGTTGAGCCTTTACTTTGGGTTTGAAAAAAAAAGATACTTCTATTACTTGGTGATGGAAGGGTGATTAAAATGACTATGGAATTAGTTTACGACCGGGTAGTTAGCTTGTCCGCCACTCATCTCGTAGCGATAATCAACTGTCGAACATCTTCTATACAGTACATGTTTTGTACATATTACAATGAAAAAAAGCTACAAAGTACTTGTACATAGAATACATGTACCAAAAAAGGATAGTTTATCATCATTACATGTATGTTTCTTTATAACGTATGACATGTCAAACTTTTTGAATCGGCAAAAGTAGCGTTGTTGCGCCTTCACGAACAAGTATATACTAAGCCGTAACATTTTCGATCATTGTTTCATGACCTCCATTATTTTGTACAGTACATACATGTAGTTTACTTACCTTGGCAAGATTTCTCTTTAAAAATTACATTATTATGAATAAAACTAAATAAACATGTGTTAATACTGGAACTTCATTTCTTAGTAGTTTTATTACATGTATATGTTAAAAAATTGCTGTTTTAATAATAGTCTGAAGTTTTATTTATTTGTATAACCTTTTCAATAGTTTTGTTCTCGTTGAACTGGTAGAAATTGAAATTGCAACGCAATTTATAACTATTTCCTTAAACACCGTATTTATGAAATTTTAGTTTACAATTCCTCGCTCAGTCTTTAAAGGCCCATCATGCCTCATTTATTTCTGAAAAGCTTTATAATTCTGGTGTACCTAAAAAGTTAGCCATTGGCCAAGGACCTGAACCATCTTTTTTTGGCAGTAAGTACAGTTATAATGAAAGTCAAAATACTACTTTTTTTACATTTTGTTACTTTTATGACAAATTATTTCACACATATCGCTACTTTCGTCAGGTAACAAGCATCTGCCATCTCTAAACATTATAAAATTCATGTTTGCCCCTTCTAAAGAAATAAAATAATCCTAGGCATAAAGTGCCTATAATGTGCCTTCAAAATTTTGTTATTATATTGAATACATTCCATGTAATAGAAGTATTAACACATACAAAATACAACATTTTTGTCACATCTTAATTAAAAACATTGGCCCTAAAAACTTCCCAGGTCATTAATTTAAATTTAAATTTTACAATGGAACGCTCTCGTGCTCCCAGCATGCAGTTCTGTTTCCTGTCGCGAGCAATTTGACCTCATCTTGTATTCTATGTTTAGCATAATGTTAATGTTCCGTTTAATGATTTTAAAGCGATAAAATATCGTTTAAAAATCGACAATTTGCCATTATTTTGTTAAAATATGCGGTCATCGTGCCCAGAAGTCGAGGGTTGCATTGCTGCAAATAATGCGACGCTATTTTAAGGGGAATAAAATAAGATGAAGATCGTTATAGTTTTTATTAATTGCGTATTAGATCATTAGAAATGTACCGGCGAACTGAAGTACTTGCCCTTACTCTAAAGTATAAATAACAAATTGATATTTAATGTAAAATAAACTGAAATAAAAAAAAAAACAGAAAAAAATAGTAATTTCCTATTTCAAGCTTGTTCTCCATTTATAAAATTATTGGTTGAAAGAGTGTCATTTCGGAATATTTCGTATATTTCCGTATCTCATCCCATTCGTATTTGAATGTTAATTAAGTTATCGACAAAAAGATGGTAGCGGCTGAGCAAGTTAAGGGAGAACCTGATCCCCAAGTGTCTGTTAAAGCCATTTTTCCATTTTCTTACGAACTGACGAGTTCCTGCATAGAACCAACATCTGTATAGAACCACCAATCTTTCTGAAGCAAGACGATGAATATCTTCTTATATCACGTGCAATATGGAAAATGATATACGGGGAAAGGGGATGTTGGGACTTGTAAATGGCAAATTCTTTTAAAATGCTTGCAGATTTCCATCTATTTATCATAATTATGATAGATAGTTTTACGTTCCAAGTATTTCATTAAGTAATGTATGGAAAGTTCCTCCACACCAACGTTTAAATCAGCAACGTAGTTGATGTCATACTCGTATACTAAGAATAACTTCCTAATATTGTATTATCTTGTTAAGTGATTTCTACTTTTCTTTTTAATTTCCCAACTTTGCCGGCGTCCGAAAATAGTAGGGCATTTTGTGAAACGAACTAATTTCGTTAAACTTTTAGTATTCATAAGTGCTTTAGTGTGTATTATTTAGTATGTATTTTGGCTTTGAAAAAAAATGGGCTTTTTCATATTAACATACTTTTTAAATATATATTGATATGAGAAAGCAAAATTTTTATGCTTGCATTTTGTATTCGCTTAAAGATGCATGCCTCCAGTTGAGACAAAATATGTCAAAAAAATGAGAAAAATGTACTAAGATTTCAACAAAAGTAAAAATGTTCACAATTCAACAAATAATGTACATACATTTTTGTATTCGCTATAAATGACTGATTGTGTCGTAGTTTAACCATATTATTGCCGCCTCACTAACGCAGTTAGAATAATGTTTTGCATATTCTGCCCTATAGATAATTTTCATAAAATCTTACAGCATTCTTTGGTTACAATTTAAGGCAATACTTTACTTAAAATTTCCATAAAAAATAGTATGAATCTGGAGACATGGTGCTTTAAAGGATTTGTAGAAAATAAAACAAACTAAGAAGTGAGTTTATAATCAGTATTTATTTACATAAGCACTTAATGCGTAAGTTTAAATTACAATGTACATATATACGACTTTAAAACGAAAATAAATTTATGATATACAATGCAGTTTTATATTATATAATTTAACATTATAATGATATAGAATATACATGTATCTACCACTGTACAGATTGAGTTAGTTACAAAAATATACATATATTATACATATAGTAAGATGCGGTATTGGTAGGAGATCACGTGACTATTATCATGTCACACGAGACTCAAGACAGAAAGATAGCAAGAATGAGCAATAGGAGAGAAAAAAATAGGAGAAGGTACCTATATATAGTAGAATTTGTTGAATATCACCTGAATGAGCATCAGGAAATTGGATTTTAATATTTGCTTAGGCGGTTTTTGTTTTTATAAAACAAATCTAAATTTTAGTTTGTTTTTTACATTGTTAAGCAATATGTGAACTACTTTAAAATGGTTAACAGTTCAGACGTCATACTCGTATTCTAACATCTTTTTCTAAATCACTGCCCATTGAGCTTAACCCTTCGTCTGACGATGAATCATCAAGGACCATAGATTTCATAAAACTGTTCATTTCTTCATCTTCATTTATCACTTGCTTTCCAAATACTGACTTTATGAAATCAGCAACATTATGATTTAACTCATTTCGTTTTCCAACCTCGTCTTGCGTATTATGGGATATTGCACAATTTTCGGTTTCACTTATTTCTGTTTTAATTCCAAATTCGAATTTATCTGTCCGACAACCATTCATGTAATGCTCACTGTCCTCATCCTCTGTCTCGGACGTTGAAGTTATATCGATAATTTCAGAGGCATCCAATTCATCTTCAGTAATGCTGTACTCTACTAGCTTCCTAGCAGAACTTGTTACTTGCTTCTCAGATACAAATGTTTGGAAAATGCGGCCATGTTCCGGTGTCTCGATATATTGACGCGTATTTATGACGTCACCAGCGTTCTTTTTAATCACAAATGCCGCATCCAAATCAGTAGATGAGTCGGATTCCTCACCGTGACCGGAATCAACATTATGAATTGGACTTTCACAGCAGAGTTCCTGACAGTTTCCGGACATTCTTCTGATATTGTATTGTTTATTCAAGCTTCTACAAGACTCTTCTAAGACAGTTCTTCTTGTTTTTAGTCTTCGGTTTAAATGGTTGTCATCTTGGACAGAATACATTTCTCTCTTGGCTGGTATGAGTCGTCTGCGAGCTGTAAACTATTTTAGCGGAACGAGGCCGCACTGCTGTCGTCTGCTCATCCGAAGAATGTCCCTCCGAAAGCGAGTACACTCTGTCTTGTGACCTTGGCTCGACGTCTATAAATCCAAAATTTACCATTTGGACTGCGTGTCTTTTATTTGGATGCACGTCTGCTGATTCCATCATTCGACTTCTGCTGCTTCGAGATTTAGTTTTCTTTGCAGCAGAACATTTTACTTTACGTCGTCTTGGACGCACTGGAGAGCTGTCCGATGAGTCAGCATATTCATTTGTCGATCCGCTATTTGACCTACGGTAAGTTTGTCTTCTATGTTTCTTGGTTGCAATAGCAGCAAAGAAATTTATAAGTCCATTGATCTTTGAATGGTCAAGTTTTGAAAGGAATTCATCCATGCTGCTATCCGAATCACTAGTACTATCCACAAACAGTTCCCTTTGTCCGATATTTGGACGAGCGTCTTGTTGTACTCGATTCTTATGTTTGTCGACCATTTCAACGAGAGATGTCAGTGTTTCTATGTCAGGGAGTTTTCGTGTTTCGGATATGTGTTGTGTGGATTTTTTCTTCAAGTTCCATCTACTACGTTTGTCTTTCACTTCAACCGGGGTAAGAGGTTCCGACTTCCGGAGCACTAACCTGTTCGGCTCCCCTCTCCATGCTTGTATCACTTTAACAATCCTGCTTTTACAAGGCAGAGGCTTTTCTGTATTAAGTGAAACTTCATATATGGCAAAAAGATGCCTGTACTCCTTTTTGATCCCGGTTTTCTTCAGAACCATTTTGATGACGTCAGCGCATGTTGTGTACTTTGTCGCCCCTTTTACGTATCGTATGGAACCGTCTACTTTCAGCGGAATTCCCTTGTCTTTTAGATGTAGAACATCGGCCATCTGAAATAGTGATTAAATATGAAATATGTATAGTGATTTAAAATGAAATATAGTGATTTAATATGAAATATAGTGATTTAATATGAAATGTAGTGATTTAATATGAAAATATAATTATTAAACAGTTAGGTGATACAGTTAAAATATAGATATACATGCATATTAGAAAAACAGCAAGAATTAAAAATTATATACAATGTATTTTTTGTTGCAAACTATTTGTGAAATGATATAATTTAAACCTTTTTAAATATTGTCGTAAACTTTCTTTTTCAGACTCGAGTTTAAAATCTGGTATTTTCACATAATTCATGCAATGGTTGTGTTACTATGCGTCGCCTAACAAAGTATGTGATCACACAGTTAAATATCTATTGTCTGACTTTATGAATATTTTATGATGTCGTCAATTTATAATAATGACGTAACACGAGCCGTTTAGACTGTGGAAGTGTTGGCGACGAAACAAGTCAAATATTCTGGCTGTACCATTAATATTTAATATCATATAATGACAGCTCGACATTCACCATAATGACTGACTTATGACCCTCCTCCTTCCAGATGAAAGGAGTCGTTCTCTGTATTATTAATTGATAGCATACACATTTCATTGAAATGAATAGAAATAAGATTATTTATATAAGAATAATTTAAATTTAACGTTTAGAGTGTAGATTTAATATTAAAATCCCGAAATATTCAAAATTTGAAAATTAAAAAAAAAATATTTTGACGGTTATAATAATATGATATCAACTGTGAAACGATTCTAAATCCCACAAGTTTGGTGCATTCTTATACCAAACCTCTCAAAAACAATTTATGTAATTATTGATTCAAGTAAAACCATTAATTAAGATAGATTTGTTATTTTTGCTTATACGTACAAGTACATTGTTTTATATATGTCACCGTGACATTATTCTATAAAAGACAACTGTTCATTTCTAGCTACTTGTCGCGTTGTTATTTAGATATTGAAAGCGACAAAAAAGGACAAAAGAAATCTATAAAGAAATATTAAAAGCTTGCAATTGTGTTTAAAATATAACCTAGCGTTTTTTGCATTGTCAATATTTCAAAGCAGTCTCTTAAATATGGAGAAAAAAAACAACAATATGAAATTGTTACATAATCCATTTACAGACAATACGAATATAAAAGATACACTTTAGTAGCTTACTTGCAAACAATTTCTAATATAACTTTATTCCATCTATGTAACTAACGGTTTAACAATACCTTACATGTATAAAGTAACTTTCACTTTTAGAGTGTATTCAAGAGATAAGTGTTATATTTATGCTTTCATTTTCAATCAAACAGACAAAAAAATCACTTACATCAACTGTGTTTTAAAGATATCCGAAAAATAATGATATGATTAGTATCCGAATACTATTCCACTCACATGCGCGCTCATTTCATAACTGCTTCAGTTTTTTTAAGTGTCGTTATTTAAATAATTACAAGTCGATCAGTTTTGACAAGAAATAAATGCTGCTTTATATTTAAGGTGGCTGCTGAGGTGCTTTATTGATGGAACGTCAGTCCGAGTTTTACGACGTAATGACTAATTGAGCCCTAGGGGTCAGCATTTTGTGTGATAATTGATATTTGACCCTTAAAACTTCAAACGTTTTCATCAGATAAGATCAGGATCAACAAGGGGATAATTGATAGGGGACCTGTTTAGATCTTTCGGGACTTTTTCTAATCGTGTGCTGTTACATTGTAAAATATGTTTTTATTACAAGGTAATCTTTAAAGATATGATCAGATAAAAATAATTAAGCTTTTTGTAACATTTCCTAATCGTGATATCAGAATTGAAATGCAATAAAAAAAATGTCTACATTACTCTTTCACCGTTTAGCCTTTTTACGCTATCAAATTTCCGTCCCCGTTTAAGATAAGTTAAAACTTAACATCTAATAAGGCAGTCGTTTAAGACAGTCATGTTTTCATTTAGTCATGATGTTTCTTTTAAAATGGTGCTTTTGCACAATCATAATATCAAACAGAAACTATAGATAAAAAATACTTTGTACGAACTTGTGTTTGAAGCTATAAGCTTATTGAAACACTCTCGAATCTGTTCCTGGAACCAACCGATACTAAGTAGTGAGGGGAAAGTTTCTTGCTCATGGAAACAACGGCTTGCCCCAGACGGGGTTTGAACCCACGAACCACTCGGCCATGATTCACGATATTATTGTTAGATAAGTTTATTGAACGGATAATCTAAAAAAAATCGTTTCTTAAATCCAAATATTGTTGAAAGTTAAGTCTAGATCTAAATATCAAACGACCTTCAAATATATGTCAATTTACATATTTGGTTAAAAATAATAATAAAAAAAAAACATTTTTTAAAATAAAACAATTCGTGTTCCGCAAATAGACGGACTCGGGTAGGTTTTGGGTGACTGTGAACATGGTACGGTCTAAATTACAATTCACGTTCTATAGTTTGATGCATAAATCTTGTTTTGTTATTTGAAAAACATATCGTCGTTCAATGTATCTCGAGGTAGGTACAACCTCGCACGTTAATCTCGTGTATAAATTCTTGACCACTCCGATACAGATCTTAATTGCTAGACAGTTGTTTAAAATCAAAGACTAACTTTTAAATCGTTTAGAAAATATTTTGACAAGTGTAAACAATGTAATCTACATGTAGCTAGTGACTAACGTCTCTTAGTCTTTAATTTAACTGCATTGTTGACAAAAAATGTTCGATCTTCAAAACGATAACACCGAAGCTCCCTCTTTTGATACATCCATCGATTGTTGATCATTAAACGGTGTTAAAATGAAATCTTCTTGTACAATCTTCATGGACATCGACATTGTTAAATGACTTTTTTGACATGATGTCAAGTGCTCTAACATTATCGGAGCATGATCTTTATAAAAAAAACATTCTGCGTCCAGTGTTTTTTTTTTTAAAAAAAAGAGAAAAAAAGAAAATACTGCTAATTTAAATACATGAATCATATTTATCAATAAAAGAAGTTTAGTATTTTAACTAAACCTCGGCCATTTTTTTTTTGTCCCAGATTTTAAACTATGAGTCATTGCGTCAGAAAGCTAAAATAATCTACAAATTGTATGTATAATTAGAATTAGTGTTACTGCTACTTGATTAACGTGCTTTGGTATATTTTTTTAACAAATATGCAAAACCTTTTTAGCAGTCATGTAATCAGCGTTCCTTTTCTCCATTTGTTACAGATACTTTCACTGTTTAAATGTTGTATTTTTATTTATTGTAAAGAAGGACACATTTACAATTAAGATCTTCTCCATGTGTTACCTGTTTAAAATAAAGATATTATTTCACTTAAATCGTAAGCGCCTATTTTTACAATATTTATCATTTTTGTCAAGTTTTTTCTTGGTTCTCGTACTGATGATAGGGGTGCATCTTGTCAGTGTCACAAGGGGTTCGACACAACAATCTAGGTGTCAGAAATGTTCGAGTTGCTTCAAGGCAATTAAAAGCATCCCTCCCTTGACATGAAATTTTAACATAAATTCCTGTTTTATAAACTGATACATCAATGTCATGGTACTTAAACTGTCAGATTATACAATTAATAATATTAGTTTGTCTTAGAAATTATAATGTTGCTTTAAATGATTACAAAGAAGAAGAAGTTGAACAGCGTACCGTGTATTAAAATGGAAGTACAACGATTTTGTTAAAATTTACGCTGATCACCACCGAGGTTTAAAGGTAATTCTAAATAAGTTTATATGTGTATCATTTTTTCTATTCTTAAAATTTGAAAATAACTAAAAGAATTTGACATTTATTATGTATCATATTGACATTTTGATGTCATTTTACTGTTTTAAGTACAGCAGCACTGACAGTAATGTATGTTTTGTTAACTGTATCACAACTGTTCCGTAAATGAGTGTTTAAAATGTAACATTTGTTGTAAACAATTTGTATGATACCCTTTATGTCAAGATTAGTTTTCTTTTTTTTTCCCTGGATGTTTGATAACTGACTGAACATGCAATCTCGTTTGAAAATGATACAGTTGAAAAACATTTAATATAATATATATTACATAGAATATTTAAAAACCATACATACCTTAAGCAACTGCATTTTTCTACTATCTGTTGACTATTTTATATATGTTAAACTTTGTATATCTATATGTCTCTCAAAATTCCTTTTCGTTTTTCCTTTTTTTCACACAGTTAAAATAAATCATATGTTGTTTTTATTGTTTAACGAGCAATAATGGTTTAACATTTGGATGTTCTAACTTATAAATAGACTGCCAATTATTACTTATTACACTCAAATAAATACTATTTATTAACACTTTATTTATTTCATTATTCTTAAAATCAGTGTCTATTTTTCAGTAAAAACTTATCTTTTATTTACCAATCATTTATACTTACAAAAGACGTTCGGTCCAATTTTTTCAATTCTTTTCCACGCCATTGTAAAGCAATAAATGAACAATGATTTAATTAATCAGTCCCCAATTAAACTATCATAAAGTTCGGATAGACACTTCTGACAATTAGTGCTAAGTTAAATTAGTACTTGACAGCACGAGAGTACTCTAAATTTTTGACACGAGCGTTTTCTTCACGGCTTTCACGCGCATCGCAATTAACAAGAAACAAACAATTAATTTATTTAAAGCGCCTTTCAGAATAATAAAGGGTGTGAAAAACATGTAATTTTATGGTGTCATTAACCGTATGCCACGATTCTGTTGTAGGATTCACAGCTGCTTTATTTGAGTAACCTGGGAATGTCAAGACGGTTAAACTATAAAACCACTGACCAGTACTGGACCTTCATCATTTTATGATATCTTCCAAACCATACAACTATTTTATCATTATTTATCGAGAGATTACAGTACGACAATCAACAATGCCGGTTATATCAAAACATAAGGTAAATATAAATTATTTTAAATACATTAGTAACATAGTGAAATCATGTGTGCAGTTGTTTCTTAAATACATATGAATTATTTTTGCATTTAATTTCTATTATACAAAATAAAATAAATGTTTAAGAGGTGTTTATCTGAACAAATTAATGCATTCATTTTTTTGCAAATACTTATGCATTTTTAAAACTACGAACTATTTTAATAATTTGCATTTAATATTAGATATAATAACATATGACATTCCTATGCTACATTCAGACAATCTTAATCTTACAGTTTACAAAAAAATCCTACCAAATGATCTTTTATATCTTTAGAAAAAAAAAATCTAACAAAAGGTTTATTTTTAGATCAATTATAAATAGCTAATTGAAATATTTCGCGCGTAAATTCAGCCAATTTAACGATTTAATAATAATAACAAGATTTTCGATTTTGATGATACTTTGGTTATCTTTTTGAAAAGCCCATTGTTAAACCAGTTTATAATATTTCCTACTTCCGATTATCGTCCATCAAGGCTAACTTGACGTGTTTGTAAAACTGTGATCACATACAATAGCTGTGTCTGAAAACCCTTTTGTGAAGATTTGCAATCTATTGTTTGCACGGTTGTAGGTAATATTAAACAATTAGAAGCAATTATTATGTCCAATTGTTAAAACATATGCCAGGGTTTCATCCGATCTCAAGTTATGCGAAGCCTTCAAACAATGTAAATTGGCATTTAAATAGCCGAACGGCGCACTTCATTTTACATTGTCAAGTCGCATGCGAAGGACATACTGTAGAAATTTTGTTTTAAAAAGTAAAAATATAGAATAATTGGGATATATTTACTTAAAACTATATTGCGTAAGTAGAGGATAAATTCAAGTTGACTTTTATTTGTTTTGCTTTGTTTAACAAACTTGTAAAAATCAGAGTCTTTTTTGAAAGACACTGGGTAAATAAATAACCTGACTGCAAATACTTGATGCGTATATACAAATAAAACAGCTGTGTCGTACTTTGACATATGTATATGAAATACGAAACGTTAAATATTTTTTCACAATTATGTTAGTTGTAACGCTATTATTATGTTTATATTATAAACTTGTAATGTTGCAATACTGATATTTTACATCTTTTCTATTTTTAGACTGGACGCAACATGACTTCCGGTAGATCCAACATGGGACGAGTGTTTTGTGTAACGGGGATGCAGAATGAGTCTCGAGAGGAGCGCGTGAAATCTGTAACGCCGAGTGTGATTGGTTCAGAATGTGGGTCAACGCGATCTGACACGGATTCCAATACATCCGGTTATTTGTCATCGTCATCGTTTGAATCGTCAGGGGAAGAGAAACGCTTGGTGCCTAACGGTCACAAGGTCTTCAATGTGTGGACTAAGTGGGGAGAACAAGTCAGTGTTCCAAAAAGTTCAACACCGAAACAAGGTTCTGAGAACGTAGCATATAGAAAACTCACAAAACGTGTAAATGTGTCCAGTGAAATGGGAAAAAGTGTTTTGTCTATTAAGAAAAACTTTGAGAAACCGTCGAATATAGAACAAGATTCTTTCTGGGGCATTCAGACTCCACAAAGAGTTCAGAGGAGTAGTTCCGAGGGAGATGTACATGTGATCGAAAGAAAATCTGACAATGAGTGGAAACGGAAATCAGTTCAAGCCCCTGTGACACATGATGCCGGCCAAGAAATAATCCCAAGTAATAAAATGTCAAAATCTCAGGATTGGAAACGAAGACCATTTCTCACTCTGTCTGATTCCCAGCTTGATCAAAGGTTATGTGGTCCAATTTCTAAGTCAACATCTAATACAAGGAACAATTCAGCATACAGTGCGTTGCCTAGATACCGCGTGAAAGTGGATGCTGATCCGGTTGTTTCTAAAAATAGACTTGTTGAGCAGCTTAGCAAATCATGTGCGGATTTCGCCGACGAAGGAGTACCTGTCGATGAATCAATGAGTGAATTTCTATCAAACGTTGACAGAGATAATCTGGCCAGTTTCTTGAACTTCTATGATAAAGTCACAAATAGTTCTTCCTACGAAAAGGCCAGAAGAAATCCAAATAATTATGAAGCTGTGTATTATTAAAAGACATTAAATGTTTAAAATATAATTAGTGCATAGCATAAATAGTGCAATTTTGATATGTCTTTGTATAGTTTGTTTGTACAAGATGTTTCATTCTGTTTTTGTTTTTTGAATAAAAAAGTTAAAAGATGATAGATTGTTTCTATTATATATATAAGTTTTCACATGTTTCACTTTGAATTATTCCAAATTTCCAAATGATAATGCCCTCCTGACCTTCCCAACCTTCCCAGTTTTTACTTTGATTAAAGTATTACATACAATTTGTATATTTATAACTTAGAGATAGGGTAAAGGGAAATAACTCTTGAAATTTGAAAGTTAGAGAATATACATTTACTTCCCTTTATAATGTGAAACCGTTACGAGAATCATATTGACATCATATACAGACCCCTGCATATGATCAACATGACATTAAAGAAATATAAAGAAGAATAAAACTGAGAGACTAGCTGCTATAAGATTCAGTAGAAGAAAAACTAGAGACTGGACGCTTTAATATTTTATAGAATAAAACCTTTAAGATTATAAAGAGTAAAACCTAGAGGCTGGACGCTTTAAGATTCAGTAGAATAAAACAAGGAGACTGGTCGCTTTAAGATTATATAGAATAAAACCTAGAGGCTGGACGTTTTAAGATTCAGTAGAATTAAACTTAGAGAATTGACGCTTTAAGATTCAGTAGAATAAAACATAGAGACTGGTCGCTTTAAGATTACATTTGTATATAGAACAAAACCTTGAGACTTGCCGCTTTAAGATTCAGAAGAATTAAACAAGACTGGTCGCTTTAAGATTCAGTAGAATAAAAACCTAGACACTGGACGCTTTAGGATTATATAGAATAAAACATAGAGACTGGTCGCTTTAAGATTTAGTAGAATAAAATCTATAGATTGGCCGCTTTAAGATTCAGTAGAATAAAACATATAGATTGGCCGCTTGAAGATTCAGAATAAAACAAAGACTGGACGCTTTAAGATTCAGTAAAATACAACAGAGACTGGTCGCTTTAAGATTCAGTAGAATAAAACAGAGACTGGACGCTTGAAGATTCAGTAGAATAAAACAGAGACTGGACGCTTGAAGATTCAGTAGAAAAAAACATATAGATTGGCCGCTTGAAGATTCAGTAGAAAAAAACAGAGACTGGACGCTTTAAGATTCAGTAGAATAAAACATAGAGACTGGTCGCTTTAAGATTTAGTAGAATAAAATCTATAGATTGGCCGCTTTAAGATTCAGTAGAATAAAACATATAGATTGGCCGCTTGAAGATTCAGAATAAAACAAAGACTGGACGCTTTAAGATTCAGTAAAATACATCTGATCATATGTAGCGTTGGAAATTTGAAAGAAAATTTTTGTATTTTGTTAATCTATCGAATGAAGGTGTGTCAAGACTTCATTATGTAAGTTTACAATTTTTTCACTAAACACTATCAAAATGAAACCACAGGCTTCGAGTGAATAAAAATAGTGAACAATTTAAAGGCTTTATAAACCTATTTCAATCCACATACGAAGAATGCCGTAAAATAAACTATGCATGAACAAATAACTCGAATCTACTAAACTTTGCCCGATTTCATTTCATAACCAAAGTTTTACTTTATAGTCTTAACATTTCAATGAATTAAACAAATTTTCAAGCTATTATGTAATACTTGCAATAGATTTTAAAAGTTTACAATCAAGAAATTCAAGTCACACCCCATTTCACTATTTACCTCTAAATTAAGGGAGAATTTTCTTTTTTCTTTTTTTTACAATTCAATGTAGATTTTAAATAACGATATTTTGGAATATTTACTTAACCCACTCTTAGTTAATTAGTGTATTTATAAATAAACAAATAACCCTTTCATCTAGAAATAAAATAAACTTCACAGACAAATAAATGCGACACGCGTCTAAAATGTCATGACATGGCTTCAAGGGAGATAACTTTAGACATATTGGGACTTGTAAAAATGTGAATCAAGCAATTCTATATACGAATTAGCATTTTTAGCTTGATTATTCGAAGAATAGGGAGAGCTATTGTACCGACTCTGGTGTCGGGGCCGGCGACACATTTTGATCTAGTTATTATGTTATTGCAAGTTAGTATCTCCAAAACTACTAAAAGGGAATGGGTTGAATTAATTAAGAGCATAATAGAAGGTCACTGTCTAAGAAGGCCAATTATTTTAACACAAATTTTGACAGAATTACTACCATTTTTGGACTCTTATCCAGACTCTTGTTTACTATCAAGACCTGATTTTAAAACCTAGAGATTTTAAAACCAAGAGTCTGGTCGCTTTAAGATTCAGTAGAATAGAACCTAGAGACTGGACACTTATAGATTCAGTAGCATAAAACCTAAAGCTGGACGCTTTAAGATTCAGTAGAATAGAACATAGAGACTGGACGCTTTAAGATTCAGTAGAATAAAACCTAAAGCTGGACGCTTTAAGATTCAGTAGAATAAAACCTAGAGACTGGCCGCTTTAAGATTCAGTAGAATAAAACCTACAGACTGGCCGCTTTAAGATTCAGTAGAATAAAACCTAAAGCTGGCCGCTTTAATATTATATAGAAATAATGTAATAATAAATTTGATGAAAATTATGAAATGTATTATTACAGGGGAAAATAAAAATAATAAAAAGAAAACTCGTGCCATTTTTGCCATATGCAAAGTGTATTTTAAAAGTAAGACTATTGATTACTGGATGCAAATACATGACGCGCGACGCGAGAAAACCGGTCTTAATGACACGACAATAAATGTGCACTACAGCGATTTAAATGACGTCACTCTTGTTGCGTATTACACATGTAAATACGGAAATACTGTTTATCGTGTGCTATTGATATTTTTTAAAAGTGTATTGACTTTGGAATTCAGAGGAAACATTTAAAGATGGAGGAGGAATTAGAAGTAAGTGTGTATTATGTATAATTGATGAAAATCAACAACAAAAAACATATTTTTCATGTTTATAAATTATAATCGGAGCATACTGTAGCATTGATAATCTTTTATTGTTGGTAGTACACCGACGTTTGTAAACAGTAAAGAATCTACAGTATACTTACATTAGATCTAAGTATACAATATACAAAAGAATAAGAATTGGCAACTCTGAGCGGTGCCTTTATATAGAATAAATTTAGATCTGAATTTACGTTGTTTTGATTTTAACTGTACAGTACAGTTTTGTATTGAGCATTTGTTTTCATAATTCATATATTATCGGCAAATTATTTTAAGAATAATCTAATCAGTCGCAAGTTAAATTAAAACAAACTCGTAATTCATAATTCATTTTAAAAATTGTTGCAAGAAAATAGGAAAGTAATATGTCCAAATATGCTAAGTCATCATGGAGTAAAAAATGTTTTTTAGATTAAAATATTGATTTATAATTCCACTTCATAACTGATAAGTGTATAGCTCAGTGGATAATGAAGTGGCCTGTCACGCAAACGAATCGAGTTCGAATCCCAGCTGAAGCTAACATTTTTATTCGTTTTTTTTTTTTATTTTTATTTTTTTTTTTCATTTATAGGATCTTGAATCCTTTACTCGGATCATTTTTGGAAGGACTCCTAACAACTCTCAAACCACAGAATTTTCGAGAGATAATACCGACTCAGAATATTCTGATGAAGGAAGAATGCGCTGAAGATGCGAGAATGACGAGGCCGAACTCGTAGCTACAAGAGCAAGAGACTTCACCACCGCGAATAGTCAGTCTGATCATGATGGAACGGATAGTAATAGTAGTGAGGAGGACATTTGTGAAACATCTGATGATACACAGACAGTAAGACAATTTATTATAAAAGGTTGTGGTTGTCGTCTTAATTGTCATACAAAGTTTAAATTTGACGACATACTGAGTCATATTCTTTCTATCAGGGAAATGACAAAGGAGGAGAAAGAACTGTGTATCATGTCGTTAGTGGCTGAGGGAAGCGACGAGAAAACTAAACGTGGCAAAAAAAGGCAGCGTTCTAGGAAGACATTTCGGGTGTCAGGAAAAACGGTGTGCAAAGGAACATTCATGTTATGTTATGACATTACGAAATATGCATTAGGAGCCATTGTTAAACATGTCAGTCATCACGGCGTAACTCCAAGACAGCATGGCAACGCAGGTAAAAAACCAAAGCATGCTATTACGTATGATGATGTCATACGCGTTGTTTATTTCATCCGAAATTATGCAGAAGAAAGAGGTCTCCCTCAACCTGCAGCCCCTCGTTGCCTAGACAACATCCCACCAGTGTATCTGACGTCTGACACAACCAAAAAAGACATGCATCAGCTGTACAAACAGTCTTGTTCAGATCCCCGTGTGCGCGCTTTAGAGCTAACGTCATTCAAAGACATCTGGCGGACATGTTTACCGCATATACGTATAGCTAGCCCAAAAGATGATGTATGTGCCACTTGTGAGAAGCTGCGCAGACAAATATCAGGTACAGTGACCGAGGATGTGACACTAGCAACAACGACGGCACTGCGGGACCACGTACTTCTTGCACAAAAGGTAATGATATAAAAAAACAATAATGTAACTTCACACTTATAAATAATTTAAACAGATATTTGACCTGCATGAATTATTAATTATTTTCTAAGCATATCTTGTAATAACAAATAAGACTCGATGCACGAAAAGAATTGAAAAAAAATGCATGTGCTTTCTATTCCGACAATATTATGATTCTTATGATTTTGAATATTAAGATCGTTGTTTTAAGAAGTTAAAATTATGTTTTACTTTGGATGTTTTTGTTTTGTAATTTTATAGGAACGTGATCTGTATAATGAGTGCATACGGCGTAGTGTTGACACACGTGACTCGGAGGAAAAGTTTGTCCATCTTACATTTGACTTTAGTCAGAACGTCAGTTTGCCTCATTTTTCTCGCCAGATGGGTCCATTATACTTTCTAACCCTACGTAAAATACAAATATTCGGAGTAAGACTGGATGGCATCCCTCACCAACTGAACTTCCTGATTGACGAAGATCAAACCATAGGTCCAGATGGTAAAGGGACACACGGACCTGACGCTGTGCTGTCGATGGTAGACTGGACATTGCAGAATCACGCTAATCAGACTCCTGCCTTGTCGATACACTCGGATAATTGCCCTGGTAATTATTTTTATTTTTAACAAAATATTTACAATGCGGTTAATTATATCACCTTAACTACCATCTTAACGATCAGATATAAAATTATATTAATACTTGCGATATATATACTTTTTAAAATTAATACCAGAACCAGTTTCAATTTATGTAATATCAGGAGAAATACCAGTACTGCTGTACCAGTACGTTTAGTTTTAAGGCAAATAAATACCAGTACTTTTACATTTAAGGGATTTTAACTTAGTTTGCATACAGACTGTCACAACAAAATGTCCGTAATGTAAAAGTATAAACTTTCCATTAAATAGAACAATATATGTTATAAAAATGTTCTTTTCCAATTTATAATGAAATCAAAAGTAGTGCCAAATGCAGTACCAGTACAACATTTTGAGCAGTTATTCAGTACCAGTACAAGTGGCAGCATATCTTGTGTGTGACAGTACTTATGCAGTATTTGCAAAATAAATATGCGCTAGGTACTGCAGTATCAATACAAGTAATGCAATTAAATGCATGTCTGTACATAGTTAAAAATATCAGTCTTACTATTTTCTTCACAATTAAAAGACTTATTGTGTATAACTGAATTGCTATTGCTCAATAGATTACTAAACATACAAATTAATTGAACTATATTTTAACTAGCCTGCCTTATATTTCAGGGCAGAATAAAAACCGATACACTATTGGATATTTTATGTGGCGCGATAGAAAGGATAGAAAAGATCGAGTATCATATGCACCATATGTACTGATTCAAGAAATCTTTATTACTTAGATTCTTTTCTAACTTCTTGTTACTCGGCAATCTAAACAGACTTTGACAATTTTATCTGTTTCCCAACCCCACACCCCTCCAAGGACAAAATATATGTAACATTTGTTCAAAAGCATAATTATTTTTTCTTTGAAATCGCGGCAGGTAAGGCTTTTCAATTTTACAAAATAATTCAAATCTTCGATGCACATGCGATGTGTTTAGTTGATGCGGGATTTGCACATCTAAAAATTAAATTCCGGAGGCATGATGTAAAAACACTTCAAAAGCTGGCCGATGTAACAAAGAACAACAAACAGCGCTGTTTGTTACCCCCAGTGGCCATGGCGGCAATGGAAACCCTTTCTAGAGAGATTTTTCAAACCAATTATTGGTATAAGGTAAACTATTTTTATCTCATTCAAATAAAAATGTTGTTAACTCACAAATCCAGACTCTACGTTCCTGAACCATAGAAAGAGAAAATATCTTATACATGAAAATTTAAGAGTGTGTTGTTTCTATTAATCGTTTACTAGTATTTTTTTCTTTGATTTTACACAATGGTTCTTAAAAAGTTATAAGCTATATCTAATAAAATACTTTACACATGAAAAAATGAAAGAAAGAGTTGTCACATAGAATGTCTCCACATTTATATTATTATAAAACAGGATACATGTAAAATGTTCCGGAACAAAATATTATGCAGACGAATTCGTCGCATATATCCTCCACCTTAATACACTTTAACGTAAATAAAATTCTTTAAACAATTTTTTTCTGCCGCGTGACCAAGTTAACGGTCATGCTATGTAAGAGCTTTCCAAGCTCTACCGTTCTTTTAACTTAAATAATTCTAAATAAGCTCTGAAAAATGTTTATTTTTTTTATTTATAGATGCATATTAGGAAATAAGTTTGTTGCATTTGTCATAACGGATATTTATCATTTTTCTATTGATAGAAAATTCCAGCATTTCCGGTTCCAGTCGGACACACCGGGAGTGGTAATGGCGAGAAAAACACCTGAAGGCGAGGAACATTTGATCCAAGTCTTGAAAGAACCCGGATTCCGGTTCAGTTCATGTGCCCGTCCAAGGGTTATTACGCCCGGGGGAATGACATCAGAGCGTAAGAGATATTTGTCGCGAAGTGTGCGAGCGTTTGTCAGTCAAGACAGTCAGTCATATTATCAGTGATTAAGGGGCACTGTTATAACTGCCAAGTGCTGACTTAAGTATCCACAGAACTTTTGTTTGTAGTTTAAAACTATCACCATTGTTTCTATGTTCATAATACGATATTATTTAATATTTTACAATTTTCTACATTTTTCTGTTGTAAAGAAAAAAATGGAGCTTTTTATTTAACTGTCTATAGTTTTGCCATAGCCGCAAAAATAAATAATGTTCAAAATACGTAGACATATACGCTATTGTTTGTTTATTTATTTCTTTGTACATTTTGTATTTGGTATATGCCTAACAAGGTGCCCGCTGACGGCAACGGATTAAACCTATGCGATCAGTGCATATAAAAACCCAACAACGCCTTCTGTTCGTGGTCTGCAATATTTGTTTTTCAGGCAGTATATATTTTGAAAAAATCCCGTAAGGATGTTGAAATGTTTTGTCCAAATTTAAGGAATATAACGTGGCAATGGTTTACGCCGTGTATGACACGCTTATGCGTGTTCTTATTACGTTGCTAAGCAACACTAAAATCGCAATTAGCGAGAGGTCTAATGTTTACATAACTTAATTACTAACTTCTTTTTAAAGTTTAAACATAATTATTGGGTGGATTTAAGATAAACGTAATTGCCGCATTAAAAGTCTACAAGTAATAACGTTAAACGTCAATTTAATTTTTCGACGTCATTTGATAACAAAGTGTTCAAATATATGACGTTCTTTAAATCGGCATATCTCGATAATTAATATTTTGATCTTAAAACGGTTTTCACTCTCTTATGCAGAAAAAAAATATCTACAATAATTAGTTAAAAACAAAATTTCGAAAAAAATGTCATTAAGACCGGTTTTCTCGCGTCGCGCCTCACATGTATTTGTTATGTCTGTTAGATAACCATATTTAGATTAAATAGTTACCTCCCTTGTACAAATATGCACAAAATCTGCATACGACCATTCTATTTAAGAATTTCAAGAGACATTATATCAATGAGAAACATTTTCAAGAATTATTATAGTTAGACTAAAATCAAACAATTTAATTACAGTGTATATAAACAGAATATACCATTGCTAATCGAAAAGTAAAAACTGCCCTAAAAAGATGATGTAAGAAATTAAAAACTGTAAATCGGAACCCTAACACGCGTTTTAAAAACATTTCAAAAGATCGATTATCATCCAAGATTAGATCTTGCATGAACTGATTAGCAATGATTACCTTAACCTAGGTAAAAATAAAGCAAGTACAATGACATTATTTACAAGAAAATAAAAGACGACGTTGTAAAATGTTAAAACAAGTTTTGGCACAATAACGTATCATTTCAGTTTTAGTGAACAGAAATATAAATTGTTCATTTTTTGACATTTCTACAAATGCATTATCTACCGTTTTTTAGCTTTATTAAATAAAGATTGTCTCCAGTCATCGTACACAAAGCAATACAAGAATGACATGGCTTTCGTCTTCAATACTGTCACAGAACTGGCATTTTCGCACCAATACATCTAAGCCTTCGTAACGCCCAGTTTCTATGCGTAAAGACGCGACACCACAACGAAACTTGCTAAATGCAGTGCGATGACAAGGAGGCATAATGGCAATTCTGTCTCATATTCTGTTTGTACGCAACTTATTGCCACCACGACCAGACGGACACGTCATACATGTCATATTTGCTGCAGATGTAGTACAAAGTGCAACTCGTTTGTTTACTCTACAATCAAGCATATAAGACAATCTAGATAAATAATAGCAATGGATTTCCACTGTCTGATTTCTGGGGTTATCCATCCCATTTCACCTGAAACCGCGATGTTAGACGTATATCTACCGACACATAAAAAGAAGCGCATGGCGCGAAACTGCACTGCGTTAATGCACGAGTAAGAGCGATAACCCCAGATAGCAGAACCTTAACCGATTGTTGGCCAAACCGTAGAATCATATAGGTGGGTAGGTACATTGTACGGAAGACCATCAGCCGATTTACATTTAGCAATAAGAAGACAATTTGACTTTTACTACTATTTATAAACATATCGATATACCCGGTATGCTACATCAGTTGTTAATAAGTGTATTTAATAAACATTGCAAATCTTTCTCATCGTTTGCCAACAAGACAATATCATCTGCATAAAGTAACATACATATTTTATCAGATCCATAGTCAACACCAATATGAAGAGATTTTAGGTAAACAGCAAGATCATTTATATGTAAATTAAACAAAAGGGGAGATAATATACAGCCTTGACGTAATCCAGACTTAACAGTAAACCAGTCAGTATGTTTGGAGTTAATTCTCACACATGAATATACAGAATCATACAAAGATTGTACAGCACCCAACATTTTATACCTATGTCATAAATTTTTTTCCATAGTAAATCTCTATTTATATTTTTATATGCCTTTTTAAAATCTATAAAAGCAGCAAATGTAGACTAAATACGTTTTTCCTAGTATCAATAATATTTGTTAGCGTAGATTAATGATCAATAGTGCTTCTTACTGTTCTGTTCGTCAACAATGATATCTCGATTTTCAGCCCAGTTACTCAGTGTATTATCTAAAATAGCACAATAGAGTTTATAAACAGAACAAGTTAAAGAAATTCCCCTATATGATAATGGGTTCCTTGGATCCATACTTGCGGACTTAGGAATAGGGTTAATGATGCTTTTACCACAAATATTTGCAATTGTACCACTTTTGAAACATACATTAAACAGAGAGTACATAAACATAACAGCGGTGTCATTCTTTAAGGCTTCAGTAGGTATTCCATCTATACCATTTCCTTTTCATAGTTTACCTTCATCAATAACTTCAATAATTTATGTCGAGCTCACAATATAACGTTCGGGAATGATCTCTTTTGCAAGAATTAATCAATTAATTCATCACGCAATCTTTAATAACTATAATTGAAACAGTTTGCTTATCAATAATTCATCACACTTGTCGGAACGTATAAGTGTTTAATTCAATCTACAATGTTTTATATGCGTTTGTTGCGTAGAATAATCATTTTCATTTCAGCAAGCATCAAAAACGCAATTGTACTGGGTGTCTTGACCAAACCACCACCAGGAAGTCACTGACTTCCCTCTCAAACTTGTTAATCAATAATCTAGCGTAAATATGTATATTAATCATATACTAAACTTAAATGTATATTACTTAAATATGTCATGGTTTATCATTCTATGCTGAAATAAATGTAATATACCTAAATGTTAATTTAGACGTATTGAGTTCCGACATAACTGCGGACACGAGTTATGACGACGATGACGACTACGACGACAACAACGGGGCCTCACCTTATAGACAAAGTCAATAACTGATACGAACTTCACACAGGGAAATTCATAAGTTGATCTTAATTATACATACTTCAGGCGTATAAATTTTAACCTACTTATAATAATAAATTAACACAATTGCCATGCTTGATGACTTTAGAATACAATCGGCATCATCTAAACTCATTAATTGATTTAGTTTATTTCAGTGTTTAAATTTCAATTTTGTATTCAATTCACCCGTAAAAATATATGTTAAAAGAAAAAAAGAGAGAAATTGGATAACTTCAAAAGCGCAAGAGCTTGTTCTTTCTTTATACGTGTATCAACTGTTAGATAAAGTAAATAAAAATGAGACGTGGTTGTATTGGTTGATTTTTTTCATATGGATTTTAATGAATTTAGTATTTTGTTGAATTTTAAAGTCCTGGAAATTCATTGCTTTCAACGTACATTTCTGTTAAGTGTATAAAAGTGAAATAGACGAAAGAAAATTTAAAGTTATTGATTTAAGTAATTAAAAGAAATATATTTCTACGATGTTGGTGACACGGTCATTAATCTGTTGTCACTATTTATTGTTTGTGTTACTAATTCTTTCCCATGAAGGTAAGCATTTTTTCATGTATCAATAACTGTCATAGATTTAAGAATTAATAACTGTCATAGATTTAAGAATTAATAACTGTCATAGATTTAAGAAAACATTCCTTAGATGATAGACTTTTTAAAATCTTAAAACATAAGTAAAATAAATAGATAAATATAAAAAGAGAATATAAATATATTAAAAAATAACTCATTATCAGTATTAGTCCTAATCCCTTTAAATGCGAAAAAAATCTATATATGAGCCGCGTCACAACAAAACCAACTTAGTGCATTTGCGACCAGCATGGATCCAGACCAGCCTGCGCATCCGCGCAGTCTGATCAGGATCCATGCTGTTCGCTTACCAACCCTTTTACAAGGAGAGAAAGTGATATCGAAAAGCATGGATCCTGGTCAGACTGCGCGAATGCGCAGGCTGGTCTGGATCTATGCTGGTCGCAAATGCACTATGTTGGTTTTGTCGTGACGCGGCTAATATGAGTTGGAGAATGTGACGTCACAACTTAACGTACGTAACATTCAAAAGCAGGTTTTTTATTTCTGGAATATATAATTTTAGACACTCAACACTAAGTCATTAATATATTATTCATATTCTTTGAGATAATATGGGATGGGACCTCCAGGACCGATGTGGTTCGAATCCCGCCAAGGAAACTTTCATATGGAAGCTTATACGGAAAATCACCTGTTCGGGTCATAAATGCACACTGGAGTCTTGATAAAAGTTACCATATGACCTTAAAGCCTCTAGATGAGCCGAAATATTTCAAGAAAATCAAACTTGAGAAAATGCAATAAGATTTTAAGAATATTAAAAACATTTACAGTTTAAGAAATAATTTACATGATAAATGGAAATAATGACTTAGTTTCCAGTTGATTACTCCATATTTCTAGTGCTTTACTAACGCCATTACGGCCATTTCTACATTTTCTGATCTATTTTTGATCATTTTCGTAGATTTTAAGTACCATTTGCAATGTGTAAAATACTTTCACTTTTCACTTGACAATATTTTACTTTTTAATACATTAAATTTTTTGTTCATGAAAATTAGCATGAATCTGGAAGCATGCTGCTTTAACAGTGTCCCGATTAATTATATCCTGCAACATTTTGCCACCTTTAAAATAAGTGAGTATGACAATACGAAGGTCAACGCGGATATATCAAAATTTTAACTGCATCAACAAATGTTGCGTTGCATAAAATGTCTTAGTTCCAAGTTACAAATGTATGTTCTTTTCTTTATTTAGGCAAGGCACTAAATGTTGACCCACATCTTCGAGAAAAAAGACAGGTAAGAGTTTTTCGGTTAGAATGAATATATGACTGAATGAATAATATGAATATGAATAAATATGAATGAATGAAGGACGGAAGGGAGGAAGGAAGAAAGGAAGAAAGGAAGGAAAGAAGGAAGGAAGGAAGGAACGAACGACTGAACGAACAAAGAAAGGATCGGACGAAGGTTGGAGCGAACGAAGGAAAAAAGAAGGAATTGATCGAACGAACGAATGAAATTAAAAATAAAATTAGAAAATATAATAGTCTTAAAAATAGCAAAAAAGGATCTTAAAGAAAACTATTATTGTAATCTAAGTCTCCAAACGACAACCAAATATTATATAGACATGAAACAACTACAATAGTGTAGGCGTCATTTACAGGTGCTATATGTATCAGTGAATATTAGTAGGTCATATATTTTTGTAATATCATGATGGGATGAAAGAAAACACCAACATTTTTATTATAATTATGATAATTTACAAAATAAGAAAAAAAAAATGAAACGAGATTGTATTAAATTTTTTTTTAACTTTTAATTACAAATAAAAATAGAAAATATTCTAGTCTTAAAAATAGCAAAAAAGAACTTAAAGAAAACTATTATTGTAACCAAAGTCTCCAAACGACAACCAAATATTATATAGACATGAAACAACTACAATAGTGTAGGCGTCATTTACAGGTGCTATATGTATCAGTGAATATTAGTAGGTCATATATTTTTGTAATATCATGATGGGATGAAAGAAGACACCAACATTTTTATTATAATTATGATAATTCTCAAAATAAGATAAAGTGAAAAGAAATTGTATTAAAAAAACTTCAACTTTTTAATTTAGCAAAAAATACCCTTATCAAAATTTTCATCTTAAAAAAATAATCTTTATTGCGTGACTAACGCAGTAAGGGCCATGTTTGCAACTTTTGACCACTTTTTTGTAATCTATGTGAATTGTATGTGCTTCACAATATTTTACTATAAAATCTATTTTCAAAATGTTCATGAAAATTAGCATGAACTTGGGGGCATGATGCTCTTAATACCCTACAGTAGACAAGTAACTTGCTATTGTGAATTTTGTATTGAGGGTAAATTATTAATTAAGCGCTTGTACACGGAGTTATCTCTGCATGCACAGACAGTAAATTTTCCATGTTACCTTGCTTCTGGTGTCGCATTGTATGTGCCTGCAGGGTCTTTCGAAATATAATGTTGAACAGTTTCAAACTATAATAAAACAGTTATGCATGCACGCTTGCAACATGATATAGTCGGTAATACTGAATTCATCAACTATTCTAATATTTTATGAAATACTGCGCTATGCACTTCCTAGTCAATAGCTAAATGGCATTTGCCAGTGTGCATTTCATAGGTTAAATTAATTGCTATATTGCTATAAGCATTTTCACTTCAAGATGGAAAATGAAAAAATAAAAAATAAAAAGACAATTTTATTCAGAAGCAGCTAAATACACAAAATGACGGAAATTCAGCTGAGAAGGAAGTTCGCGTTTTCCGGATATCAACATACATGTGCAAAATTATGACCACTTGATAATTTATATCAAAACTTCAACGAACTTCAAGTCTAATTCATCATCAAGTCTTGTACATAAAATTTTGTACGATTATTACATTGTAAACCGGATACGGAAGTGAGAGTTGTTATAAGTCTGGTTCCTTGTCACGGAAGTGAGAGTTGTTATAAGTCTGGTTCCCTGTCAAATATGTTTGTATTTCGTTTGCCAATAACACAGGATTAGGGTCAATGAACTTTGCCTTTTAATGTTTAAAATGCTTATTTCGGCTGTACGCTGTATCGCTAATCTTATGAAATTGCTTTCAAGTATATAGGCCATATTTACCACAAGGCTTATCGCAACCCCGGCGAACGAACAAGTAACTCGATAAAATATCTGACTATTATAGAAGCTGAGCGTTATTTTTTGGGTTTTTACCCGAAACTAAACATTTTGGTAGCTTTGTATGTATTTGTGACTCTCCGAATGGAGGTGAAAAAGTTAAATATCAAGCATTCACAGCTGGCGCCAAACAAGAACCTTTGGATAAATTTTGTGAAAAATCTAAACGTTAGTGATATTTTTAAAGGAATCGGGCGAGTTCTGGAGTATCCTGCACCTTCATGAAGGTTGCCCATATAAGCTTAGTTCAGCTGTGATATTTGATGGGTGGGGGTAAATATAAATTGCTGTTAGTCATTATTTTAGTAGCAACGCATACCAACTATTATTTACTTCAATGTATGTCATATATCTTTAAATAGTGCTGTACAACTGGTTATCTACCTGTGTAATATATTTTGAAATACAAATTTGGCCTCACTGAACTACATAATTGCTAATTTTTTGGATTCCCTGCCCCCTTAGCCTGGTCAGAGTGGCAATTGGTCGTAAGCGCCATCGTCCTAAATCACTCACCCTTTAAAATAATTGGGATTTAGAAATATGGTGACAGTAACCTCCCTTGCTCATATTACCACATATGCTTGTATATCAGTTTTTTGTCAACCGTATCATATTACCGCCCGTACAGGTGTATGAAAATTTAACACATATAATGATACCTATATTTTAATTACGGGTATTTTGAGAAAACTAATATTAAATCTTGATTTTCAGAAAAAAATAAAAAAGATATCCGCCTTAAACATATCCGGTTTTGAAGTCATCATGTCTAGTTATAAGTCAGCAAAATTTCGGGCGATTTATATTAAATTTCTATGTATGAAACACAGTACAGTTACTGACAGTTTTTGCATAATTTTTCTCTTTTTAAGGGTTCATAAACAAGTATTTCATCTGTTCCAGTCTCTGATTTATGTCGTCTGCTTGACATTTATTGAGTAAAGTAAATGCCATAAATTTACTTGTTATACCTTCAGAAACAATTATTTGTTTATGACTCACACCCATCAATTATATTTATTTATTACAACATCTCATAACAAATTTCTAGGGCATTTGCATCTACATAGACCAGTCTATTGTTTGTTTAGTTCATTTCATAAGTATGTCAGATCGAAATCACACCGTTTTTTATGCTGTCCGGATTATATGAAGGTCAGTCTATAGAAAGGTCAGATTCAATAAAGGTCAGCTTTTATTTAGGTCATCCATATAAATAGGTCAAAAAATACATCTTAATTATAAAATCCCACTCTGTATGTGGATTTTGGAAATTTTTCGTTAGCTTTCAACTTTCATTTTCGTTGCAAGATAGTTAATAGGCGTAATATGTTAACTAAAGTGTAAATACTAGTAAATAAGTTTTAAGTACAATGTCCAACCAACCGTATGAAAAATTAATAATGGATTTATTCAGGTCTTTTATTTATTTTTCTATTACAGGTCGATTGTGCGGAAAAGTACAAGACAATCACTTCAGATCATTCCGCGTGCAAAGAACCCTCAAGTGACGTACAAGCCTCAGGTACAATGCTTATGTTTTTTTTTTAATTTCAGGTATAATAATAAGTTTTTCTAAGCGTTGTTTATGTTTTGAGCTCAAAGTAGAAGGCACAGTAGAGGACCCATGACGACATAATTGTCAAACCACGAGAGCATACACGTGATAATGGACAAAGCACGAGAACATAGCTGTCCAACTACGAGGGCGCATAAGACAAACCACGAGAGCATAATAATGAAACCAAGAGGGCGTAGTAGACAAACAACGAGGGCAAACTAGTCAAACCAACAGGGCATATTCATAAAATCACTATCAAAAAAAAGAGGGCGTATAAGATCAAGCACAAGGTCATAGTTGCTAAAACTCTATATAGCACGTAGTAGTTAAACAATGGGGGCATAGTAGTCAAAACACGATGACATAGTAGCCGAAACACGATGACATAGCAGCCAAAACACGATGACATAGTAGTCAAACCAGGCGAGCCATACGGACCAATATTGTATACGAAGAATGCTTAAACCTCCAGAGAATACTGGCATAAACACGGAACTTAAATAGACCTCGAAATTGTTGCTGAAATATTCGTATAAAGCTCGGGAGAAAAAAAGATTGCAGAACAATAAATAGATCTCAGAAGATTACTCGGACAGTTCTGTAGCCTTCTTTTAGCATTTAAATAATTCTTTTGAAAGCTATACCGATTATGGCAAACAATCAATACACGGAAAGACCCTTTGTTAAGAGCGAAAAATCAAATAATCTATCTTTGTGAAATTATAACCTATCATAAGTGTCTATTTTGAGTGTGACAAAGTGAATTTTGTTGACATATCTTATTGATAGAAATTTTATATTGCCGAACGAAAAAATGTTTTGTTTCAGATCTCCCTACCAAACTGCCTACCATAGACATTTTATTTTCCTGTCCACCTTTTCAAAAATCTATATAATATACATGACATTGTATGTAAAACCCCTTTTTTTATTGTTTTATAAAAACGGAAAGAAATTCCTACCTAACAAACATCATTTTAATTTTGTGTCGGAGACCAAAAACAGATATTTTTGGCCTGATAAACTTTTGACAGACATTTTCAATACATAGTTGATAAATAACTGTTACGAATTCGTGTATTTATATATTTACATAAGAAGTAAATAATGCAAACAAAATAAATAAAAAATATAACATCACATGCTGGTTACAATAATGAAATATTTACATTTTGTAAATAGTAAAAAATTCTTTTTAAATTGTATTCAGTTATGACTGAATAAAAATTTCAGTGCTGAAAATAATGTCAAAGTAATAAAAGGTTAAACAATGTAATAAAGCTGTCAAACATATTTACATAATTGTAATAGTGTAAAATGCATAATGAATATATTTATAAATATTTTTATTTTCTATAAGGTGTATCGAGCGATGACGTCACTACTATATTAAACCACCATAACAAGGCCAGGCGCGAGGTGTCTCCAACGGCAACCGATATGATGAAGATGGTAAGTGACCACACCCATACTCCTATCCCTTGCATAAACTCATTCCCCACCATTTCGCAAACCCCTCACATTATCCATACCTTACTCCGTAATACTGCATATACATCAGCCTTGGTCCATACCACAAACCCTTACTCTAGCCCTTTAAACAAACACCTAACATAATTTGAGCCGCGTCATGACAAAACCAACATAATGGGTTTGCGACCAGCATGGATCCAGACCAGCCTGCGCATCTGCGCAGTCTGATCAGGATCCATGCTGTTCGCTTACAACCCCTATAACAAGTAGAGAAACTGATAGCGAACAGCATGAATCCTGATCAGACTGCGCGGATGCGCAGGCTGGTCTGGATCCATGCTGGTCGCAAACCCATTATGTTGGTTTTGTCGTGACGCAGCTCATTTATAACTCACTCTGCTACAGACGGCCCCTACCACAAATCCCAGTCTTAGCCAATACGACAAACCCTTACTCGAACCCTTCTTTAGGACCTGTCACAAAGTCTACCATAGCCGTTACAATAAGTCAAGTCCAGTCCCGACCACAAACCTCACTCCAATTATGACATTGTTATAGTCCTGACCGTGACCCATACCACAAATCCCTATTGTGTTTGCCCCCGGCCTAGTCACTATCGCAAGTTGCCTCGCCTCTTTCGCAATCATATTCTCCAACGCATCGGGTATTTAAAACGTTATTGGGCGAACATCTGTCAAATACAACCTGTAGTAATCTGTGTCCGAGTGGCTTTGAATAAATTGCCAAACCCCCTCCACCACCCAAATCCCTCAAATGCCATCTCAAACCAATACCCTCACCACCTCCCCCACAGCATGAAACTATAAAGCTAGTCTATACGGAAAGTCAAAGTTCTATTCAGGTACCCGCCGCTCGTGCCTTAAATGGCAACTTAGGTCTTATGTCGCTAGTCAACCTGGAAAGTCGCCATAATTTATGACCTTTATAGAGTCCGTGTGACCATATGAATACAACATTTTCAATAAATTGACATTTGTAAAACTTGTTTTATCGGCGTGTATTCAAATATATATTTATATTTTTTATCATCAAATCAAGCAAAGAATTTAAAAAATGAATTAATTGCGTCAGGTGAATTGAACGGTTATTTTCCTTTTGATTCATGAAAATTGAAAATGTATCAGTAATAAAATAACATATTGAAAGGGTTTTTTTTCACTTTGAAATCTACAAACGATGACTTTGTAAATAAACATAAGTTTTTATTGAAGAGAAAAAAACAACTGAATTTGATTGTATGTTAAAACGAATTCCAAACATTTGCTATATTCAAGCTTATATGAAGTAAGATGTTTAAAAAGATTTTTCAGTTTAACTTAAATTTACGTACATGAAATATACATTTGAATACAGCAGCAGCACCACCACCAACAACAACAACAACCAACACCCCCACATACGCACGCACGCACGCACACACTATTCTTACACGATATTTTATTCATTTTCGTTGATTTCCTAAAAAATATATTTTATATTCACTCAGTACATAGATCTTGATTAATACCGTTTTTTTTTTAAATAAAAACGGCAAAAAAAACCCCACATACACATATTTTTGTACACATATGCCATTTACGTAACGTGATTTCATTTAACGTTTACAGATGTGGGATGACGAAATAGCCAACACTGCACAGAGATGGGCGGAAAACTGCGTTCAAAGTCACGACGATAACTATAAAAGATACGCATTTGGTAATACAACACACAAATATTTTCGCAATAGTATATATGATATGATATGGAATGGTATGATTTGATAAGTATGATATGATATGATATATATGATATGATATGATAAGTATGATATGATATATATGATATGATATGGTATGATATGATATGTATGATATGGTAAGTATGATATGATATGATATGATATGATATGATTTACAGATTCTCTCACAAGCATAATATGACGCAAACATGTTATACCGACCTCTGTCGTACCTATTAATACCTGAGTGAAAAGAAATTGTGTTTGGCAAATTCTTGCTCAATCGATGCCCTTGATATGGACTCGAACCCGGTACAATTTGTGAGTTCATGAAATTAAAATGTCACCACTATCCTCCTCCACTTATAATGGCAATATCGAAGCATGACAGCCACTAGCTGTGGGGGATGAAGAGAAGCCATGTATGACTTCACGTGGGCCTGTTATCCCCAACCTTTTTGGAGTATCAATCAAATACTTTGATTTTCACTGTGTTATGCATAATAATACATGTAGCATTCAAGTCAAAGGGAAACAACTTTTACAAACTGAATATTAAATCAAAAGTATAAAAATTGATACAATATATCAATGAGAGTAAAAATGTAATGCCTTATTGAATAAATGCTACACAGGTCGGTTTACTGTTGGTCAGAATTTGGCGATGGGCTATTCAGACTGGAGTAGCGCTATGCAGGGCTGGGAAGACGAAAAGGCCGATTATGATTATGCTACAAACGGAAGTCCAACTAATCAAGTTGTCGGACATTATACTCAGGTAAGGTCACCTGATGTTTTAAAATAATAACACACTTAGGCACAGGTAACCGGAAGCGATAATTTGGCAAAGTCACTAGACATCACATGCAGGTAAAGCCCCTGTGAGTGGTTGTTTGATAAATTCGCTTCATATTACATATAGGTTACGTCATTTGATATTTTAATTGTATACAGAAATTGGAAATCAACTTCAATGGAAATGACTTTGATCGTCACATGAAATGACGTTTGACCATCACATAAAATGACGGTGACCGTCACATGAAAGGACGTTTGACAATCATACGAAATAACTTTGATCGTCACATGAAATGACGTTTGACAATCATATTAAATAACGTTGATCGTCTTATGAAATGACGTTTGACAATCATATGAAATAACGTTGATCGTCACATGAAATGACGTTTGGCAATCATATGAAATAACTTAGATCGTTACATAAAATGACGTTTGACAACCATATGAAATAACGTTGATTGTCATATGAAATGACGTTGATCGTCATATAAAATGACGTTTGACAATCATATAAAATGACTTTGATCGTCATATGAAATGACGTTTGACACTCATATGAAATAACGTTGATCGTCATATGAAATGACGTTTGACAGTCATATGAAATAACTTTGATCGTCACATAAAATGACGTTTGACAATCATATGAAATAACGTTGATCGTCATATGAAATGACGTTTGACAATCATATGAAATAACTTTGATCGTCACATAAAATGACGTTTGACAATCATATGAAATAACTTTGATCGTCACATAAACGGACGTCTGACAACCATATGAAATAACGTTGATCGTCATATGAAATGACGTTGACCGTCACATGAAATGACGTTTGACAATCGTATGAAGTAACTTTGGTCGTCACATGTTATCACGTTGACCGTCACATAAAATGGCGTTTAATAATCATATGAAATAACTTTGATCGTCACATGAAATGACGTTTGACGACCATACGAAATAACGTTGACCGTCACATGAAATGACGTGTGACAAACATATGAAATAACTTTGATCGTGGCAGGAAATGACGTTTTACAACCATATGAAATAACTTTGATCGTCATATGAAATGTCGTTTGCACGTAACATGAATTGACATTTGAACGTCACATGAAAATATGAAGTTTGTGTAAAGTAACGAGATACAGTATAGTGTTTGAGTAAACTCATTGAATTTTATGTACTTGTAGTTCATATAGCAACTTAAAAGTAACGATTCAACACTTCTTTTTCTTGTTGGACAAGAATTTCAAGAATTGATTAATTTATTCACTTTATGTAAATTTTTATTTTGCTAGATGATTTGGGCCAAAAGTTCAAAGATAGGTTGCGGATATGCAAAATGCGGGACCACACATTACTACGTATGCAACTATGGTCCTGCGTGAGTTTTTTTAATTATCTCTGCTAATTGATAATTTGTAATAAAAATGAAGGAAAATTATTTAAAGATATGTTTTAATATAGTAGTAATATTCACCTTTCGCTAAGTAAGAATCGAGTAAAAATATATTGTTCATGTTTAAAGTCTACCATTTTATGACAGTAAGAAACCGGAAGCGGTCATCGATGCACTCAAACAACCAACGTTACAGTGTTTCCAAGGAAACTAGGGGTAATTTGGTGTAGATAAAACAAAACTTTCTATATTTTATTCAGTGGAAACTCTGGCAGCGATAAACCATACACGTCTGGCGGAAAGTGTACTGCGTGTTTCAGCAATTGCGATGATGGTCTATGTGGTAGGTGGCGCAACATTTTTAAAATGTAGTTTTATATATACATGCATCTATATCTACCGCCTATAATTCGAAATAAACAAATAAATAAATAAACCTTATAGACACAGACAGGTTGTTATTTCCGTAAATGATTGGCCTTGGTCTACTGTCACGTGTTACCAGGCTGTTTGTCATTGGCTGTATACCTAACAAGGAACTATTCCAAATTCAAACTAGGTCATGTCCATTACAGAAATTAAAGCAGCACGCCTTCACGCTATTCACGCCAATTTTAGTTAAAATTTTCAAAATGTATCTAAAGATAAAATATTGTGAAGTTATCAAAGAAAGTTATTAATACATAGCAAAGGTTACAAATTACCAAAAAGGGGGTCAAAATATGAAAAACTGTAAAGTTTTTTTTAGAAATATGATAATAAATACATGTTCATGTATTGCAAAATCAGTCATTAATTGCACATAACAGGCACTTATTACTTGAATCTTGAATCTTTTACTTTTCTTTAAAAAAAACGTTTTTCTCAAGTTTGATTTCCTTGAAATATTTTGTGTCATCTGGAGGCTTGAAGTGAAACGTGTTTTCAATAAATGATATGTTGATTTCAAAAAGATATTTTTGTACATTCATGATTCAGAGAGTATATACATGTGCTTTAACTTTTTCTTTATTTTTATCCACCAGACTGTGGTGGAGTTGTTTGCCTGAATGGGGGAACTATGGACTTTAGTACATGCACGTGTAACTGTGTAAATAACCTGCCGTTTTTCTTGGCACCCACGTGCGGCTGTAAGTATGACATTTTATCAGTGTATAGATTGTACTTAGCAAACGCTTCATTAACTCCCTTGATTACATATTGCGATGCACTGTGAACAACAATGAAGTTAAAATGCAAAGTACTGAAAAATTAAAAAGTAACTGTCGTCGAATGTGCGATCCTCTCTGTTTCAAGTTTAGCGATTTGACATCTACTGAACTAATAACTTAAACAGACAATAATTTGCATTAATTTCCGTGCATATGTTTAATTGTAATTTTCCTTGGTGAAAATATGTCTTAGAGTTAATGCAATCTTCTTTTAATGATGGCACCAATACGAATTATTTTTTTCACTAAAACTCTAAGTACAGAATGACGTTGTGAATCTCCTGGAGAAATCATTGCGCGGACAGTAATGCAATAAGGGGTAAATAAATGTAACTTTAAGCGAAAACGGTGCAACAAATTCATAAAGAGATTCTAAAAATAGAGAAATAAATTGCCTTGAATACATGATTAATGATACAAAACATGGAGATATAGTTATGAAATTGTGTAAGTAGAAAACATTACTCTCCCTTTAGCAGCTTATAAGTGAACACACTAGAACAGTCCTATAAGCACATCATGGATGATGATGCAAAATATAAATAAATAAATAAATAAATAAATAAAGAGAGAAAGAAAGAAAGAAAGAAAGAAAGAAAGAAGAAAAAAAAAGAAATTTTTCTGCATTAATTTAAGTAAAAGTATCTATGCATGTTTGAGCTGTTTTTTACACACTTAAAAATCACTTACAATTTATTTCAGTAAACTGTGACGGAAATATAGAAGCGTCATATTGCAACCAGTATGGGGCCAGCAAATGTGAAATATTCAGCAATGTGCCACAGGAATGTCCTGTAATGTGTAACTGGTGTCCGAGTAAGTCACGTGTACATCCATACATGTGTATTGATTCACGAAACGCTCAGTATTATAAAAAAAAAATTAAGTCCATGAAGTTGGCACAGAGATCGACATTAAACATTCAGCTCGACATTCGACTTTTCACTGTTGAGCTGAGATGTGAAGCTGGCTAGACATTCAGCACAACATTCAGCTCGACATTTGTTTTTTTGTTTGTTTATTTTTGAATGCTGTGATGGAATGTGAAGCTGGCTAGACATTCAGCACAACATTCAGCTCGACATTCGTTTTTTCTATTTTTTGAATGTTGAGCTGGAATGTTAAGCTGGCTAGACATTCAGCACAACATTCAACCCGACATTCGTATTTTGTATATTTTTGAATGTTGAGCTGGGATGTGAAGCTGGCTAGACATTCAGCACAACATTCAGCTCGACATTCGTTTCTTATATTCTTTTTGAATGTCGAGCTGGGATGTGAAGCTGGCTAGACATTCAGCACAACATTCAGCTCGACATTCGTTTTTTCTATTTTTGAATGTTGAGCTAGGATGTGAAGCTGGCTAGACATTCAGCACAACATTCAGCTCGACATTCGTATTTTGTATAATTTTGAATGTCGAGCTTGGATGTAAAGCTGGCTAGATATTCAGCACAACATTCAGCTCGATATTCGATTCTTATATTCTTTTTGAGTGTCGAGCTGGGATGTGAAGCTGGCTAGACATTCAGCACAACATTCAGCTCGACATTCGTTTTTTCTATTTTTGAATGTTGAGCTAGGATGTGAAGCTAGCTAGACATTCAGCACAACATTCAGCTCGATATTCGTTTCTTATATTCTTTTTGAATGTCGAGCTGGGATGTGAAGCTGGCTAGACATTCAGCACAACATTCAGCTCGACATTCGTTTCTTCTCTTCTTTTTGAATGTCGAGCTGAGATGTGAATCTGGCGTCCACATTCAGCACAACATTCAGCTCGACATTCGTTTTTTGTCTATCTTTGAATTGCGAGCTGGGATGTGAAGCTGGCTAGACATTCAGCACAACAGTCAGCTCGACATTCGTTTTTTTTGTCTATTTTTGAATGTCGAGCTGGGATGTGAAGCTTGCTAGACATTCAGCACAACAGTCAGCTCGACATTCGTTTTTTCTTCTATTTTTGAATGTTGAGCTGCGATATGAAGCTGGCCAGACATTCAGCGCAACATTCAGCTCGACATTCGTTTTATTTTCTATTTTTGAATGTTGAGCTGGGATGTGAAGCTGGCAACATTCAGCTCGACATTCAAAAATAGTAAAAAAAAACGAATGTCGAGCTGAATGTTCTGCTCAATGTCTTGCCAGCTTCCCATACCAGCTCAACAGTGAAATGTCGAATGTCGAGCTGAATGTTTAATGTCGATCTCTGTGCCAACTTCATGGACTTAAAAAATTATAATGCTGCACTTTTGTAACCAAGCTTTTTATTTGATAATTGTGACGTTTTAGCAATTTATATTTACATATTTACGTTGCTGCTGTGAATTTATGAAGAAATGTCACTTTTTTCTCTAAAAAAAGATGTTTTCTGTATTATAAATCCGTAAGAAATACTTCTGACAGATTATATGGCCGTATATAAACGGTTGTTTGGAATATATTTTCAAATAATCGTTAATGTAGGGCCATATAACCTGTCAAAAAATCTTTATATAATTATAAACTTTATAATATTGTACACAGCTATATAATACACTCTCGATTTATGAAGAAATCTCACTTTTTTCTCTACAAAAGGAAATTTTCTGTATTATAAATTCGTTATAAATATTCCTGACAGGTTATAAGACCGTATATGTTTCGTAATTATATTTTAAGAAGCATTTTCATATTGTCTTTAATTTTATATAGGTGCTGCGTTCGAGCCTCCAGTCGTAGCTAGCACGACAACAACACAACAACCTACTGGCACCAGCACGACAACAACACAACAGGCAACCGACACAAGCACGACTGGCGCCACTCCGCAAGTCACAGAAACGCCAACCATTTCCACTACAGCTACAGCACACATGGTTGTCGCAAGCAGCTTTATGTGTATTGTTGTTGTTGTTCTTATTACAATATTTGCATAACAAGACAGTGGCGACATTTTTCTTTTTCTTTTTTTTAAACTTTTTACGATGAATCTTTTCATATCATTTCATACATGTATCAAGGTATGCTCATCTTACTAATTATACTTTTTTTTCTATTATAATCTGAGTTTAAACTTATTATTGCGTAGAAAAAAATCTACTTCCGGCACATGCATAAGACGATACAAGTTGATTTTGTGTCAGCTCGCAATAGATGATGCTGTGATTGGAAGAAAAAGGTGCTTGTAATTTTGAAAATACATACCCATTGAATTGCATATACTTGCAGTAAATGATACAGTTATTTCGTTTCCTAACTATATCAGTTTGAATGATATTCTTGTTAACATTTGTGTGAAATAAAATCGTTATTAATCAGAGTATATTCAGAGTGTATTTTTATAATTGATCTTATGAGAAGAAAAAATGAAATTTTAATCTTTTCTTTACTTGTTGAAAATCATCACAATCAATCAAATTCAATGGTACATTTTTAGCTGTTGTACTTTTCCCAATAATATGCTTCGCAGAAACTGTGACACACATTTTATCAAAATATTGACATAAAGACATATTAGTGTGTACAGCCTATACTTATTTTTATTTCATAACTTCCGTGTTCGGCTATATTTAGATCGATATGGTCAAGTGTGTTGTTGATCATTAAAACTACAATTTACCGCCCTACCAAGATGATGAAAGTGTATCAAATGTATTCATACCAAATGTACATGAAAATTAATATGGAACGCCTTAACGTCTTATGAACGCGCTCGCGCGTTATTGTCTCGTGACAATTACAATATTTACGTTAGTTATTGCTCACCTTTAATGAAATATTTAGTCATTTCATATAACCAAAATTTAACCACAGTATAAGGATGTATATGTATATTCATAGTCATTTATACATAAAGTAACAAACATGTTACTATCTATGATACTAGTAACCTTATTAAACATGTAATGAATGTTTTGGTAAACTATAGTTTGTGAAAAGGAATTTAAACGATCAATATGTATTGTGTTTTTGACATATTGGACTATATTTACAAAACTTTTATAGTGTAATTCGTAAAAATTGGACTTATTTCTTGTTTATTTGATATCCTTAAGTGCGTCCGTATTCAAAGTGATTTTAATTAAATGAAGTCGGAAATATAAACCATTCAAATGAACCGTATACAGTTTTAATAGAGGCAATAAACATAAGACTTTGGTTAATAGGAAAAGACAAGCTATAGTTATCTAAACATACGACTTGGATGTTAATTTTAGGTTTCGTTTATTTACGCAAGTTTCTGTTTTAAAAATCAGTACACATGATAACATTGTGCCGTTTTGTTCGAAGAGAACATTTGTACGAACTAATTTTAAGTGAATAAAGAGACCACACATTGGATATTACGCCACCTGAAAGAATAACAGAATGGGCGTGCACTTTTCCTCATGGGGCGTGGTTTACTTTGGAATTGGGCTGCTTCTGATTATTCACATTGCAGGTAGGTGCTTATTTTGCTTATTTTTCTTCTCGCCAACGGAAATAACCACGCCCACTTCTGCTTATTGAAGGAGATTTTTATTTTTTTCTGAAAATTGGTTACATATGCCATCGTGATAAAAAAATAAGTGATTAAAACCAATTAACCCGTTTAAACAGGGCCCAAAAGTATGTTAAGCATTCATGACAAGCCCATCGAATCTAACATCATTTAACAATAATTTATAGCGGGAATGTTCCAATGCAATGGATTTATTTTCTAAATAAACGTGTCAGGTGGCTAGTTGAAGTGGTCATACGTGTATGTAACTTAGTATGTCAAAGTACATGTTATATTCTTATACTGAAATTACAAACACTTTGAAGTTTTACAACCGTTTAGTGTACAGCAGTTTGTAATGTATTCCAAATCATGCATTGAAATCGCGTTCAACCAGAATACTTCTTGCGTATCAAAATATCACTTTAAATAATTATTGTGTAAACTTATTTTAGTTACAGTCTTTTCTGATATTCATGACAATAATACTTTCTTTATTGTTTTTTTTTCTTTCGGAACACATACAATGTTTAGTATCTGCACAAATCATGAGAGGTAACCGGATTAGCAGAATTTCCGCTGAAACTGAAAGGTTCGAACATGTCGGCGCTCATTACAAACTGATCACAAGTATATAACCAGGTCAGCCTGTACATCCTCCGTGCAATCTTACAGGGCCAAACCGTTCCAAATTCATCACACAAATAAGCAGGGTACATTGTAAAAGTAATTCGAGTGTTTTTATTTACAAACGCGGACTTTACGATACAATGAACTAGCATATTTTCATCTTAGTTGACTGAAACTATATTATTTGCGCCTAGTTACTCCTAAATTAATGTATTTACGTACGTACATACATGGAAAATATATATGATGTACATGTAACATGTTTTCGTTTATATATTATATTGTCAATAAACATTCGTACTTGACCTGTCACAGTCCGGTCACGAAACATTATTTTGATTTATTAACTATCGGAGATACATTCATGTTGTATTAAATAAAACCTGTAACATGATAAATTCTTTAAATAAAAATTCTGCTCTAATCGTCCTATTTTTCACGCTGTGTTTTACCTTTTTTATTTTATATAAATGGCATATTCTTCCTTTTTTATTTTATATCAATGATATATTCACATTTAAAGATCATTTACTTACAAGTTGAAATAAAATGTAGTATTTATAAAACTTAAATCTGCGAATTTGGGTTTTGTGAAATTCATTAACATTCGTTTATCTTCCGTGTTTATCAAAGAAACATTATAAATGTAGAGCGGTAAATAATCGGGTACTCGATTTAAAGAATAACACGGTACTCGGTATGTACTCGATGGGAAGAGTAAACAAATCATGTTTAAAAAATCGGGGAAAAAGAATGGTAGAAATACTGAATTACACACATTGACGGAAACTGTGTCACATTGTAGACATCATAAACATTTCGTTAAAATATCATTAGATTCTATGTAATTACATAACAATGTATAAACAGTATCAAAAGTGTGCTCTGCTCTGTAAGATAAGAAATGCGGTAAATAAGGTTAAGATTTAAGGACACACGCTTGACAAAAATTAAAAAAAAAAAAAAAAAACAACAAAAAAAAAAAAAAAAAAAGAGTATTAATGAATTAGTCATGTGGTGAATCTAATTATTTTGAGACAGATCCGTTTGCAGTAACTATGTGTAAGTATATATTAGAATTACCTTTACCTACATGTATCTAATAGCGTCGTTTTTGCGCATACATCATTAGGATACTTTGTTAACAATCAAAACAACATGCAAACTTACATAACTATTCAGAACACATAACACAGTATCATGTAAGAGTTTGCCCGCCGAGACAATAAAAATGCATACACGATTTTACCGTCGGCCAGATAAATGTCGACATTTCACGTAGCTGGAGAAAATTAGAGAAGAAATATCATTTTGTGATGACCTGATGCTTATACATAATGTAATTAAGAAAGAAATTATCATTTATAAAAAATGAACATAAATTATTGTTAATTATTTTTTTGAATAACCCTTTAAGGATTCTGTACAAAAAAACATGTACACTATATTCATACGCGCCTGGCCCCTAAAACCCAACGATTCATAGAAAAGTTCGAAGCGTCTCCTAAGCTCTAGGACGTTAGACTTACTTAAGGACTAACTTTAAACCGTTATAACAAACATTTTCAGTTTTTTTTAAAAATACTCTAGACTTAATTAAATTATATTCTCCTTATAATCTCTTCAGAAAAGTAAAGAAATACAATAGCATGCGCTTTAACCCTCAATGAATTAATGTTCATCTGCATTGTTAATCAGAAACGAAATGAGTCATAAGTAAGGACAATTTCTTTGAAACGCAAATTGTCTCAGTTTTGGTCTGATACTAATTTCAGACCCTTAAACGTTTCCGTAAGCTTACATATTAACACTATATTATTTACGACCCACGAACGCTTTCATTCCATACCTTTGCTCGTTATATTAAGACAGCCCTTAAACGCGTCCCTACCTTTACACGTAGGAACTTTATTTATAAGAGCCTAAAGCGCCTCTGTACCTTTACACGTAGGAACCTTATTCATAAAAGCCTAAACCGCCTCTGTACCTTTACACGAAGGAACTTTAGCCTAAAACGCCTCTGTACCTTTACACGTAGGAACTTTATTTATAAAAGCCTAAAACGCCTCTGTACCTTTACACGTAGGAACCTTATTTATAAAAGCCTAAAACGCCTCTGTACCTTTACACGTAGGAACTTTATTTATAAAAGCCTAAAGCGCCTCTGTACCTTTACACGTAGGAACCTTATTTATAAAAGCCTAAAGCGCCTCTGTACCTTTACACGTAGGAACTTTATTTATAAAAGCCTAAAACGCCTCTGTACCTTTACACGCAGGAACTTTATTTATAAGAGCCTAAAACGCCTCCGTACCTTAGCACGTAGGAACTTTATTTATAAGAACCTAAAACGCCTTCGTACCTTTACACGTAGAAACTGTATTTATAAGAGCCTAAAACGCCTCCGTACCTTAGCACGTAGGAACTTTATTTATAAAAGCCTAAAACGCCTCCATACCTTTACACGTAGGAATTTTATTTATTAGAGCCTAAAACGCCTCTGTACCTTTACACGCAGGAACTTTATTTAAAAGAACCTAAAACGCCTCCGTACCTTTACACGCAAGAACTTTATTTAAAAGAACCTAAAACGCCTCCGTACCTTTACACGCAGGAACTTTATTTAAAAGAACCTAAAACGCCTCCGTACCTTTACACGTAGGAACTTTATTTATAAGAGCCTAAAGCGCCTCTGTACCTTTACACGTAGGAACCTTATTTATAAAAGCCTAAAACGCCTCTGTACCTTTACACGTAAGAACTTTATCTAAATAAAAGCCTAAAACGCCTCCGTACCTTTACACGTAGGAACTTTATTTATAAGAGCCTAAAACGCCTCTGTACCTTTACACGTAGGAACCTTATTTATAAAAGCCTAAAACGCCTCTGTACCTTTACACGTAGGAACTTTATTTATAAAAGCCTAAAGCGCCTCTGTACCTTTACACGTAGGAACCTTATTTATAAAAGCCTAAAGCGCCTCTGTACCTTTACACGTAGGAACTTTATTTATAAAAGCCTAAAACGCCTCTGTACCTTTACACGCAGGAACTTTATTTATAAGAGCCTAAAACGCCTCCGTACCTTAGCACGTAGGAACTTTATTTATAAGAGCCTAAAACGCCTTCGTACCTTTACACGTAGAAACTTTATTTATAAGAGCCTAAAACGCCTCCGTACCTTAGCACGTAGGAACTTTATTTATAAAAGCCTAAAACGCCTCCATACCTTTACACGTAGGAACTTTATTTATTAGAGCCTAAAACGCCTCTGTACCTTAACACGCAGGAACTTTATTTAAAAGAACCTAAAACGCCTCCGTACCTTAACACGCAGGAACTTCATTTAAAAGAACCTAAAACGCCTCCGTACCTTTACACGTAGGAACTTTATTTATAAGAGCCTAAAACGCCTCTGTACCTTTACACGCAGGACCTTTATTTAAAAGAACCTAAAACGCCTCCGTACCTTTACACGCAGGAACTTTATTTATAAGAGCCTAAAACGCCTCCGTACCTTTACACGTAAGAACTCTAAACGCTTCTGTTCCTTAACACGTATGAATGACCCTTAAACGGGTCTGTACAGGTGTGAATTTTATCTATATGACCCTAACGCGCTAGAATCTAACGCACAACCTTTCACTTTGAAGCCCGAGAGTATACAATTTTAGCTATACCTTATAGCTTTGCAATGCTTTAAAATCCGTTAAGATATTATATTATATATTACAGGGGTCTGAAACCGATAAAAGGTCAGATAACTCTGATGAACACTTTCGAACTGTTAAAGCGACGATTGTGTTTACATGGCAAAACACGTGGTAGAATAACACAAGTTAGAACCTTCCCCCCCCCCCCCCCCCCCACTCTCACCCCAATGAAAAAATAGGCAACTGCCCCTTCCACCTTCCCCTCCACCAACTCCCCCCCAAAAAGAAGGAAATGAATTATTAGTAGGAAAAACATGCGTTATAGGGTAAAAAACACAATTTTAAGGTAAAATTCTTCTCATAATCATTGACAAGTTCAGACAGAAAACTTTTTAAGAATCGAATTGGTGTGTTATCGAATTTATGTAGGAAGTGTATAGATTAATTCTGTCTGCATTTGCAATGCATTAGATAAATAATTAATGTTAACATTCAATATGCAGTTTCCATATGAACTAGATATTGGAATATTGGAATATTGGGATAGAAAATATCAAAACTTGACATTGAAAATCGTGTTCATAGGATTATCTGTTTGATGTACATTTTTAGTAAGTGCAATATTGAATTGTTTGCTTACTCAGAGGTAGGTGCATGTTTTCTGTCCTGTACGTCCACT